TGAAATTTTTTTTTCATTCTCAAGCTTAAAGCCTCTATTTTGAAACTCATTTGTCAGATTTAAAATTTATCCCCCCTTCTCGTCATCTCCCCAAAAGTAAGGATGTCACCAAAAAATTGCATACTTTGACGCATTCCACGGGGTGGAATAAATTTTTTTCTCAAATTTCATGATAATCATCGTAAAATATGGACTTTTGTGAATAAAAAAAAAAATGTGTGAATTAAAAAAAAATTTTTAAGTGATCCATTAAACGTCGGGAACTTTACTGTAGAAGAAAACGAATCCTGGACTATTCCCGATAGCAATGTTTTCAATAATAAATCAACGATAATTATCCCTCGTCATTAACTTTAACTCATGAAATTGATATGACACAGAAAACATGTTCTTCCATTATTAAGAAATATATTTTTTTATTGAAAATTATATGGATATAACGACTTTTTTTATTTAAATGTGATTACGAACGATTATATTTATAAATAATAAAATACATGTATTATTGGAGTTTGTGTTAAATGTGCAAAAACATATAATTTGGAGTACGGTTCGCGCGCGCGAAACAAATCGAACCCTATATCAGCAAGATATAAAAATTTCAATTCGAACAGTGTGCAAAATAAAATTAATCAAATAATTTAAAAAAATTAATTCTGGATTAATTCTCTAGATTCTTATTCTTATAACGTTTAAATTAATAATTTCTTTTCTTTTAATCAATCTCTTACTGTTATGGGGGTACCCATTCGATTCATCTCAAAATTTTTAAATATTCGCACACTTTATGTAACATTCATGTATAATTTCGCGTAAATATAATATATAATATTAATAAAAATTATAAAAATATTTTGAATACGTTAATTTGTGTTTTATTATACATATATACAAAATGATATATATTTAAAAACTAATATTTTAAAATGACGATGTCCTGCAAATAGTTTCTTAAAAGAAACTAAAAATTAATATTAATATCCCCAGTACCTAGAAATAATTAATTAATAATTAATAAAATATATTCGTTCGTAATCATTTTTATCAAAAAGTTAATAAAAACTATATATTATATTACAATATAAAATTACTTGAAAAATAAAAATTTATATCCAAATCTACTATTAAATCTTTCTGGCATTAGATAATAATAATATGAATCCTAATAATGATAGAACATTTTTAACGAGAAGAAAAAATAGATGCATTTTTTTCACATCTAATAATATATTATTTATATTAATTCGACTTTAAAGAAAGCGTATGACGTTCGTCGTTGAATAACTACCGAAATCATTGTTGTTAGAAATTTCAGGAAAATCTAATCGTTAAATGGTAATCGGTGATCGTTAAATTTTGTGAAGCTAATATTTAATCGTTGACTTATCATATCGAATCTTCACTCTGTTATTCGATAATTTCTTTATATTTAATTAGCAATATTTAGGAATATTATCTGACGAGAGGGACAGCGAAATTAATAAAATTCTTATGTTAAAATGACAATCTTGTATAAGGACGAGAAGAGAACGCAGAAAGAACACGGTATTTTCGCAATCATAATTTAATAATTTATTTTAAGAATATTTAGTTCCTCGCAATATGGAATTCATAAATAAATAAAGCTAACAGAAAGCATAATTAAATCAATCAAGTATCATTAAATTTATAATAATTGACTCGCGATTCTGTAACGAAGGTGTCCGTCAAATTTTAGAATACTTATATTTAATCATTAATTTAGCATCGAATTTTTACATTCTATATAAAAATTTTCCGAATTTATTAATGACTCTTTGACATGACAATATAAATAGTTACTCTTTTATGAATATTTTAAAAATATATACTACAGAAACAAATATTTTAATTTAATAAATTACTATTATGTTAATTACTATTATGTAATTATACCTATATTTTCGATAATTTTTCATGTAATTTTCATAAGAATTTACAATCGTAAATACAATTTCATATAATATAATTATAGTCATAATTGTATTGTAATTTACAATTAAAATATCAATGTTAGATTATAATTAATATACAATTATAACTATTTCTAATTTACAATTTACAATTTACAAATTTATGATGCTATCAATATCAAATAATAATATCCGATTTATTCAAATATTTAATAACATCGATATAATAATTTGATATTGATAGCATTAATATTTAGATTAAATATTATATTTAATACACATAAATTTTTAATTTTAAAATAAAATATAACATGTTAAGATTTCTTAAACGTTAATAATTATGCAATTTCTAATATTTCTGAAGATAATTTTGATAATTATATTTCACTTTTACAACATTTTTATTTTTAAAATATGTTATATTTATTTTCACAATGCTTTTAAAAATAAATTTAATTTAATTTTAAAATAATTTAATTTTAATTTATCCCTAGGANAGTTGTAAAGTTATTATTTTTAATTAAATAAATTCTTTGAAAACAAATCAAAATAGAACTTGAATGAGTTGTCTTTATAAATAATAAAAACACGATTTATATAATTTTTAAAAATTTACTTTTATCACTATTTTAATATAATATAAAAAACTAAAGTTCTTATATTTTTAATTTTTTTTCAAGAGTAATTTTAATAAATTGAAGAGATTTTTAGGATTAATATTAAATACGATATAATTCGAAAAATTTTCAATTAAAATGCATAATAAAATTTGTTGTATAATTGAAAATTATTCATATCGCATTTGATGTAATTACTGCAAAAATTAATTCAATAAAATTACTTCTGAAGATAGATAAATTAGAAACTATAAGAATTTTATTTTTTTATTATATTATATTATATTAAGAGAAGAATATAAAGAAAAATATGTTAATAATATTATTATTATATTTTATATTATTATAATATTTAACAAATAATGAAAAAAAATCAAATTTTCTGTTAGAAAAAAAAACAGTTTTTAGAAGAAAAAAAAACAGATCTTTATAACTGTACTCACAATCTTGCTGACAGATGAAGCTGAGTAGTACTGATTGTGAGTTCGAGAGTGGCCAAGAATACGATAGATTTTTATTTGATAATAATTCGTACGTACACATTCGTACGTACATATATGTATTATCAATATTGCACAGCCATCATCCGTTTCAGCCGAGGATGTAGTCATCGATCAATAATGATGTCTATCATTCTTAAGTAAGTTTTGTACTCATTGGTGATCGAAATGAAAACTCAAAAGACACGATCGATAATCACTGATCAATCAGCCCCAATATCTGTTGCAAAATGCTGTTTATAATTCAACATAATATTTAGATCAGATATCTTTTGCCATGGATTATTTATCATTTTTACGACGCATTTTACATTTTATTTTAGAGATTGAATTCTCATTAAATTCGTTTTTATTCTTGAAAAATTTCTTAGCGATAGGATAGGTCGCATTATATACTATTGTTCAACGTACATAATAATTGTTATATAATTTGGCACCATTGTTTGGTATCGTTGGCATCTTTCCTTTCTTTATCAATCGATAATTCTATCTCGTTTCAAATTTTTCGTACAGTCACTAAACATCAGTGTAATCATAGAAAACGAAATCGATGACTCGGTCACGTTGAATTTCGGCGATTAAATAATCCTCACAATCGCGATATTGCGCGGCCCCGAACTTAACATTGAACTAACGTTTCATCATACTTGCACAGCAGAATACAAACTACCAGCTTGGACTTGGTTCAATTTTATCTCGAAGGCTAAGAAGGCGGGAAAGTGAGCCCACTGTTAATAACATTTCAGTCTCGCGAAATAGAAATCGTCGAGTTAATCTGACAATTTGTTTTAATAATTTAAATTACATAAATTTGTCTTTTGTATATCATATTAATATTATATATTAAATTTATATTAGTTACTACAAGTAACTAGTTGTTTATATCATATCTTAAATTTATATTAGTTACTACAGATACTATTATACTATTCATATCAAAAACGTAATAAATATAAGAGAAAGCTGGAAGAGACGAGATGATGATCTTAAGGTAAGGAAAAAAACTCAGTCGATGATTTTTCTTCATTTCGTGACGTAAAAATAATAATTTATTTTTTTCTCAGATTCATTAAATTCTTATTTATTATAAAAATTAAAAAATTGACAACTAATTGTAAGTTAGAATTTTTTAAGCATGTCAATTTCATTATCTTGCCGTTATATACAGTAAGACTACTTTTATCAATAAATAAAATGACAAAAGTTCACGTTAGATTAAGTATTACTTAAAGTAGGCTTTTGTATAATTAAAAAATTTATTGTAATAAACATTTTATATTATTTTGATATATATATAAAATATTTAAACTATAATATTTAATATTATTTATACGTGTATAATTATAATTTACGTACATATAAAAAAACAAAAAGAGAATAAAAAATATTATTAATATAACTTGGAAAAACGAAAATGATTAAAACATTAAAACAAAGACAGTTATTTATAATATATTTATTATATATAATCTTTAATAACAAAATTAAATATTACATTAAAAATTAGAGTCTATAAATAACATTATATTAAAAGATATTTAATCTTAATGAATAGGACATTGACTAGTAATCTGTTATTATCTTAGAAAAATTTGCAACTGGTCATCTTAGCCTCTTTTCTTCTATATATGATAAAAGAATTATAAAATTTCAAATATTATTAAATAGAAATTTAGTAAATAATAAAATTTAGTAAATAAAAAAAGATTTAGTAAATAATAAAATTAATCTCTTAAAAATCTCTTAGTAGGATACAAATATACATATATATCAACTTAGGCTCTTTATTAAGGAATAACTTTATTCAACAGAGATCCAGTGTACCATGATATTATGTATGCGATCAGCTGTAGCTTGCGCTGCGTCATATGCGAGCCAAACAAAACGTCCATTGATGGCGAAAGTATCTGAATATAAAACACTTTTGTAGGAAAATGTAGCATTGAGTCATTATGGATCACATCTTGCAAGTCAATCATAATTTTGAACAGCAAAGTGCACAGATTTTAGATCATTATATTATAAATGAATTTTTTCTTTCGAAAACATTTCATATAAAACAATAAAACAAATATTCTGATATCAATTGCTTAATCGCGCATGTCTTTTTATATAAAGAAAATTCACGTAAATATATACAATTCCAATTTGCACTAAAAACACATAATCTCATATCCGCATTAAAAGATCCCATAAATATAAATATACGTAATTTTTCAATTGATCTATTGAACCATTATTGACTATTGAGATTTTATCGGATTTATTTAAAGAAACGTGTATTTTTATTTTAATCAGCAGCCAATAAACGACTGAGAATTTGAATAAGACTTGAAACTGATTATGAGAACGAATTCTGAAATAAGTTGGCAGCAGTCGGAAGTAAAAAATACTGCATCGCAAAAACATCTTATTTTTAATTGAACTTGTTTCTGATCAGTTTTTTACTTGTTTACTACATTTTTTTATTTGTTATCTGAAAGCCATTTTTATAAAACTTTCATGGACAATGTTGAATATATTTTTTCTTAAAAAGAATTATATGTTTTCTTTACATTAATTAATTTTTTTCATTATTTTGTGCATAAAAGTATTCAGATGAGATCATCGAAAAATGAATATTTTATGAAATATACTTCATAGTGTATGTAAAATTATGTGCCAACAATTAAAATATAAAATATTTATAATTATTCAATTTTTAACCTATTCTTATAATTTTTTACGTCGAATACTACAAGGAATCGACGTATAAACAAATTTGGATAGTTTTATTTAAAAAAAGGATGTTTATCTTCACATGATTTTGAAAAATGTTAAAATTTATAATTATTAAATATTAAGTGTGTGTGCGTGCATGCGTGCATATATGTTAGAATTTTATTCTTTACAAACATATTTCTATACATTTAAAAAATTATACACATATTGATAATTATATTGTTTTTTGTTACAGAGAAGTACAGGGTGTACGCGAGCGTATCATTCGCAGTGTTGCTATTAGGAATCGGTTTACCTCTATGGTGGCACACCACGGCGGTGCCCCGTGTCGCACTTCCCTATACCGGAATCGATGAGTTATCACAGCTGGACATCAAGATCACCACGAGGATCACACTCGCGGCACTCTCACACACTCGCGCGGAGCTAGTTGCGCGTGAAATTAGACGTGCATTCGCGAATGCCGGTGAGCATCAATGAAACATCTGATATCAACTCATTCATATGTAATGTCTATCTAACAATAAGAAAGACTGAGTTGACGAAGACAGACTTTCTTCATTTCTCATTGCAATCATATGAATCAACGTTGAAGTGTACAATCATATTAATTCTTTCCTTACAATATATAAATATGTATATCATATATATACCCTGTATATATATATATATATATATATATATATATATATATATACATATATACACACACAGGGTGTCCCAAAAGTCCCGGACCGGTCGAATATTTTATAAACTATGCACTTTAGAAAGAAATGTTTCAGACAAAAGTTTTATGGCTTGAAGGGGACCATCAGATAGTGGTAATGATTTGACATGGGAGAGTCATTTGAAACTCACGTGAAGATCACCGTCAATTTCTTAAATGGAATCCCACATTTTTTATTACCTATTCTTATAGCTTATCTTGAGAGCTTTCCAAAACACTATAATAAAGTATTTCTTCATTGAGTATTTTTCGAGTTATGAGGCTTGAAATCATTTCTTAATTTTGCATAAACCTTAAAATATCTTGTAAAATATTCATTTTTCGATTAATTTGCCTTAATACTTTTATGTACAAAATAATGAGAGGAATCAATTGGTGTAAAGAAAACACATAGTTACTTTTAAGAAAAAATATTTAATTGTTAATTGCAAATTACATATTTTTTCTTCGTATATATATATATATACACAAATATCACTCACATATATAAATAGTAAAAACTACCTTTTTTATCATGTATTAGATTGTAAAACGCATCAAATTAATATATGTATGTATGTTTGTCTATCTATCTATGTATATGTACACACACAGCATCAGCAGACAGATATACAAGGTAATATTTTGATGTATTTTACAATATTCAAGGAAATCAATATATATAATAGTGTTTATCAGATTTACATCTTATAAATTTATTAATTAAAATTAAAATTAAAAAATTTTTGATCTATTTTACCAATCTCTATACTAAAATTGAAATAAACAAACTAAACAAATGATAGCGAAAGATTAATTTATTTTGACGTATAATGTAAAAAAGATTTACATAATTTCTCGTTTCTGATGCTATATTGATACAATACAGCAAAGGATCGGAAGCTTTAAGAGTTTGATGTCATTGTTACGCATATATTATGGTTACTTGTGCGATTTGATGTAAAATAATGTTATATGTTTGTGAATTTCGAGTGTGATTTGAATCTTAATAGTTGACACTGACCTGGATCTATCTATTGTGATTGATAAAGTAAACAAGGACCTTCAAACCATTCAATGATGCAATGCATATGTATTAGCAGAGATCTACGTCAACAATCTTACGATTGTGATGTCAAAATCAAGAAAATAAGCACCGATTTATGCTATATCTGAATTAAATAGAAATACATAGTTATAATCCTTCAAGAAAATAAGAGCGAAAGTAGGGGGAAAACAAAAGATAATACTTTATTAAAAAAATATCGAGATTAATAAAACATCGATAAAGAGAGAAGGAATGGTAATAAATTAATATTGTGTGTAAATAAAATTATAATAATATATTTATTAATAAATTAAGACAAGATAAAAGGCATTTACGAGCAATCACAAGTTGTTGAGTGTGAGAAAGTAAATTTAATATATATTTGAGTGAACGTTTCGGTTCTTTCTTTGAACCATCTTCAACACATTCTACAATTTAACAATTTAAAAAAATTCTAATACATATATCATCGGTCGGTCATAACAGAACTAAGAACAGTCAAATAACAATAAAAGCGATCAATCCATTGTATGGTTATTTATGAAGTATTGGGTTGTCCGGAAAGTTCGTGCGGATTTCTCAATAGATGTCGTTCAAAGGCGAATTTTACAAGTTTATGTCGATGTGATATGTCAAATGCTTTCGTGTTTTGATTAGTGACATTTCAACGCATACTTAGTGATATTAATTATCCCAATAAATTAAAAACTTTTTACTTGACATTAGTTTAGAGATGGAAGGAAATAACGTGTTTTTTCGATGCATAATGCTTTTTTATTTCCGTAAAGGAAAGAACGCGACACAAACTCGAAAAAAAATATGTGCCGTATACGGGGAAGATGCCGTAAGTGATCGCATGTGTCAGAAGTGGTTTGCTAAATTTCGTTCAGGAGAAATGAATATTGAAGATGCTCCTCGCTCTGGTCGGCCAGTCACCACTGATGTCGACCAAATAACAGCTTTAATCGATTCCGAGCGGCAGATCACAGTTCGGGAAATCGCAGCGAGGTTAAACATTGGCAAATCAACTGTTTCCGAACATTTAAACAAGCTCCAGATGATAAAAAAGCTTGATGTTTGGGTGCCGCACGACTTAACTGAGAAAAATCGTATTGACCGCATTTCCATCAGCGATTTGCTATACAAACGCAATGAATACGATTCATTTTTAAAACGCATCATAACAGGCGACGAAAAGTGGATAATTTATAATAATGTCGAGCGTAAAAGGTCGTGGAGCAAGCGAGGTGAACCGCCATTAACCACTTCGAAGGCAGGCTTACATCCGAAAAAGGTAATGCTCTGCATTTGGTGGAATTGGAAGGGGATAGTATATTATGAGCTACTACCGGACAACGAAACCATCGATTCGGACAAGTACTGTTCACAGTTGGATAAATTGAAGATAGAAATCGCCAAAAAGTGTCCGGAATTGATCAATAGGAAAGGCGTCGTTTTTCATCATGATAACGCCAGACTTCATGCAAGTTTGCAGACTCGCCAAAAATTATTGGCGTTTGGCTGGGATGTTTTGCCTCATCCACCGTATTCCCCCGACATTGCACCCTCGGATTTTCATTTATTTCGGTCGCTACAAAACTCAATTAATGGTTTGAACTTTGCTTCTTTGCAACTCCTCAAAAACTACTTGGACAGCTTCTTCGCCGAAAAAACCCAAGACTTCTATGAGAGAGGAATTATGAAATTACCCGAAAGATGGAAAAGTATTGTGCAAAATAATGGTGCATATATCACAGAATGAAATAACTTTTAACAACAAAATTTTTTCATTCGAATTTTGCTTAAAAATCCGCACGGACTTTCCGGACAACCCAATACAAAAATCTAATGCGTATATATAATTTTTAAGCTCGAGTTTCAAAATAGTTACGGTCCTGGTTTGTTGTTTCATCTTCGAACTTATCCCTCGTTGTTTGGCAAGGGAAGTTGATGATGTCCAGATTCCAAAATTCGCAAACACAGATATATTTATTGTAACAAAGTTAAAACGTATCGAGGCTAACGAACAATAAGCCTGGCTTATTATTCATAAATTACATAGTTTAAAAAAATATACAAAAAAGAGATTATTCTTTTTCTTATAGTCGAAAAATTGTTTTCTGTTGAACTGTCTTATTCTCCATTTGGCGAATTAATCATTTTTCATTTTAATCTTAATCTGCAATTTTCAGAAATCTACCAGTTAAATGTGGAGCACCAGGTAATCTCCACCAATTTGTTGGCGTCTGCCTTTACGTATCATGAGCTCGAGAAAGTGGCCTCAACTTTCGAGCTAAACGTGGGTGATTTGCTGCTACTGGAAGCGACAAATCTAAATGACGCTGTTCTAGTTGGCTCTAACAGAACATTGTACTTCTCTACTGAAGCCAGTAAGACAATCAGAAATCATTAGAAACATTTAAATTGTATCTACCTGAGACTGCATCAATTTATTAGCTAGACCTATCTTCATTTCAAAACGATTTAGAAATGCATGTTGAAATCTGCTTAACGCAGAGCTACTATGACGTATTTATGACAAAGATCTTTATGGTCTCTTATATTTTTTGTATGTAAACATCATCAACTCTAGGTCCCGCTAAATTGGTGCAAGTATTATCAGAATGGATTCTTCACGACAAGTCGTTGGCATTGACAAAGAATGCACTCGCCGAACCCACCGTGTATAGCTTGGACGAGGAGAACAGAAGACGATTTCCAGTCAGTCCCGCATACGATGTTCTGGTCACTCTAGTTAATCCTGATCCCGACAAGCTGAAGATCGTTTGGAACTTAAAAACAGTAACTGAAGGTACGAGAGAGCGAAATAATCATGTTATAAAAGAAATTTATTAACTCTTTTAGGAGCATATTTTTTGTTGAGATCAACAACAAAGATCATGATGGTTTTATAGGCTTTTGGGAACACTGATTACGAATCTGGCATCATAATTTCAAAATTCAAGATGGCGGATTCAAAATGGCGGATTATATCTTAGAAATATTGACAAACTTGATATTTTCAGATGAAATCACGTATATAGGGATTTTCAAGACTCGGTACAAAAAACAGTGACCCTATAAAATTCTCAATACCAGACAAATATAAAAATTTCAGATAAAAATAATTCCAGACAAAAATAAAAAATACATAAAGTGTGTTAGCATGGAAAGCCAGAAGAAATTCTATAATTCATGGATTTTTTTCTCAAAAACTACAACATCTAATCGAAAAAACAAGAATACTTTCTTCTTCAAATTATATGCAAAATATGATAAGATTTTTTAAAATTGAAAATTATCAGATATGTTATCCGCCATATTGGATCCGTCATCTTGGATTTCCAAAATCTGAGGCCGGCATTGTGATCAGAGACCCCGAAAACCTATATATGTGCAATTTGGGGTTGATTCAACAAGACTTGTATTCAAAACTGATTTTTTTCCGAAAAAAGAATGCTTTTTTCATATTAATTATTTATTAATTAATTATTGTCAATCCCTCCAGTGAAAAGTAATGGAAGATTACAATATGTAGGTAATCAGAAGTCTAAGGAACTTGATTGCATGCATATAACTGTCGTAATACATCCATAATGAGGAAAATACTAAAGATAAATAGGTGTTATCATATATGATACACCGCCCCTCAAAGGGTTAAGAAAATATGTAGTATAATTTATTAAAACATCTTAGAATTTAATTTCTTTCTGTTATAGAATATATACAGCCGTTTCTAGACGAACTGTCCATTTTGAGTAACTTCTCGGTCAAATCGCAATGGCTCTATTTGTTACCGTTAGACGTAAATCCCAGACGTGTGCCCGACAGCAGTCCAAGCCGCAGACATTTCGCACTACGCGAGAGCGTCTTGCCGCAGCTGGTGACACCGTTGGAGAAGAAACTAGGTACGTAACACGTATGTACAAAGAGTAACGTGCACGAAGCATTTCTGATTGAATTTTAGCGTCGCAGGTCAGTCTTCACCCGTGCATCAATCTGGTCATTTATGCGGTACCGTGCAGCAGCGCACCCCTGCATATCTACACCCGCAGCGGACATAAGTCACGAACAGATAGCAATGTGGAAGCCTTTCTCTCCCCGAGGTACTCCCTTCGTTTTCAGACAATTAATTTTTTTCATTATAATTGCATTCTCCTATTTTTACTTTAAACGTATGAATATTATGATAGGATCGTTTATATCTATTACTGTCCATATAGCACAGAAGCTTGCTGCAACGTTGCTGCAATGTTACAATATTGCTCACTGCAGTGTAATGTTGCAGCAATAATGCAGAGACATTATTTTGTAATATTACTTTGGCAATGTTGCAGCAACGTTTTAACATAGCGAAAATGTATAACATGTGTTTCTTTACTTGCCGCTACGCGGCGACACCCAATTTAACTAACTCGTATTTGAATTCATCTAAGATGGATATAATGTCTACAAAAGATTAATGTAGTAATTATATTTCTTGTCTTGTGCCAGTTTAATTTCTGGCAATAAACAGACTTGATTTACTTAATATTCTGAATCCTAATGAGGGATCTAGATTATTAAACAAATAATTTGTTTAATAATCTGGATCCTTCATTGGGTTTCAGAATATTAAACAGATTTTTCTTAATTGAATGGGTAAATAGGAAATAATTCATTTATTGCACGTATTAAAATATTTTGATGTCGAATGTATGTAAAATAATTGTATGTAATATTATTGAGATAAATATTTAAGAAACATCTAATAAAAACACTAATAGATGTTTTTTTTAAGGCATTTTTTCCTATCTTTCTAAAACATTTTTTTTAATATTTTCAAAGTTTATTTGTTAAATTTAAAACGTGTCTGCATTTGTAGCAAAACGCGTTTTAATATTACAAATACATTTCACCGTAACATTGCTACAATATTACATTGCAATATTTCTACAAGCGGACATTTTACCGTTGCTGCAATATTGCAGCAATGTTGTAGCAACATTTTGCAATCTTTCTGCAATGTTACAATCTTGCAAAGAAATATGTCTGCAATGTTGCTGCAATATTTCTGTGCCGTATGGGTGTGTTTATTAATTTTTTAAATTCAACGTACAATTATTAATATTACATATTAATATTGAAATAAATCAGGATCAGTGCTTTCGCACTCTGTGGTTTTTTTTATCATTGATATCGTATTAATAAATGTAGGTGGGGTGGTGTAGTTTTGATCAACCCATTAAACGAAGATTGTGAAAATGCGCGTGAGGGTGAAGCTGTCACTATTGTTCCTGAGGAAACTGCTGTGATGGGCACGTTCCTGGCTCAGCTTAGATTATTGTTGGGCATTGCGGAAACGGTAAAGGCAATTTCTTACGATGTACTAAAAGCTTTTATTAAATTAAAAGTTAAGCTTCCTCGAGCAATTTCTTTCATCAATTTTTAATTGCAGAGAGAGATAGAGAGAGAATCGTTCAAATATAAAAAAATCATGACGTAAATTTGCAGAAATCCATCGATGGAGTGACGATGGTGCCGTTAATAGGGCTAAATTCACGCGATTGGGAGATTGATTCCCTTCTGAGATTTCGTACCGTCGAGCAATTGACTTCGGCGAAATTGACCCTCCAATCATTGGCACGACTGCTGAAAGAAATCAGCAACATCGTCATAACGGACGTGGTTGGGAACAGAATTAAGAGCGCACTCGAGCTGGTGCATGAATCTGCGGAGTACCTTCGACGTGGAGATCTCGAACGAAGTTTCATTCTTAGTAAGGAGGCCTTCGTCATTGCTGAGGCGGCTTTTTCCGATCCGACACTTTTAGCGCTCCTCTATTTTCCAGAAGATCAGAAGTGAGTGCGAAATTTTTAATTATCTTCAGAGGATGTAGAAAAAAAACAATTTCAAATATTTTACAAATTCTCATAATTAAAGAGATTGAAGCAAAAATTACTGTTATTGCATTCAATTTAAATAAAAGGAAGGAAATATACAGGGTGAACTAATAACTCTGTCCACTTGGAATATCTCCGTTATTTTTAGAGATACACAAATTTTGTACGTATAAAAGTTGTACGGTACCAAGAGGGCCGTAATATGCTTCTAATAATTTTTTTGTAAGTGGAGGCGCTTCAGAGATTTCAAGGTCATCTCCATTTTTTTAAATGGAACCCTCCATTTTTCATTATCTATTCTTATAGCTTATCTCGAGAGCTTTCCAAAACACTATAATAAAGTATTTCTTCATTGAGTACTTTACGAGTTATGAGGCTTGAAATAATTTCTTAATTTTACATAAACCATAAAATATCTAGTAAAATATTCAATTTTTTATTATCTTACCTTAATACTTTTATATACAAAATAATGAGGGAAATCAATTGATGTAAAGAAAAAATAGTTGTTTTTTAAAAAAAATATGTAATTTGTAATTAACAATTTCATATTTTTTCTTATAAACAACTGTATGTTTTCTTTACACCAATTGATTCCTCTCATTATTTTGTACATAAAAGCATTAAGGTAAGATAATCGAAAAATAAATATTTTACTAGATATTTTATGGTTTATGTAAAATTAAGAAATGGTTTCAACCCTCATAACTCAAGAAGTACTCAATGAAGAAATACTTTATTATAGTGTTTTGGAAAGCTCTCGAAATAAGTTATAAGAATAGGTAATAAAAAATGGGGGATTTCATTTTAAAAAATGGAGATGACCTTGAAATCTCTAAAGCGCCTTCACCTACAAAAAATTATTAGTAGCATATTACGGCCCTCTTGGTTCCGTACAACTTTTATACGTACAAAATTTTTGTATCTTTAAAAATAACGGAGATATTTCAGGTGGACGAAGTTATTGGTCCACCCTATATATACAGAGTGTTTCCAAATATGTGCGCAAAAATTCGCGGTGATTCCTTGAATATAAATTTCTTGAAGAAAAGTTCATACTAATATCCTAAATGACGGTTTTTGAAATAAAAGTATATCCTAATCTTTGAATAAATCGAGAAGAATCTCAAACCTTGGCCCCTTCGATCTCCAGAATTGATCCTTCGATTTTTCTCTGGGATCACTTTAAATTCTTGATTTATATCAAGAATAAAATTGGTTTATTACCTGGATCGAAAATATTAAAGATTTAAGATTTAATTGCATAATTGCAAAACAATATCTGTAATACACTTGATATTTTTGAACGTATTTGCCAATCAATGGGAAGAATTTAAAAATTATACTATAGGGACATATTAATGTATAATTTTATTTATCCAAAAGAAAGAATCACCCTCCGTAATTTTTTACACATATTTTGCACACTCTGTATCATTACAATTAATGCAATATTTCTATACATTACATAAGTCTGTCAATTATTTCTAGATTTTATTTTGTATAAAATTAATAGGAAGGAGACATTATGGAAAAGAGGATGAAATAATTTTGTAATATTGCAGATATGCAGTATACATTCCCTTATTCCTGCCAGCGATGATACCGGTGTTGTTATCACTCAAGAATATACGGAGATACTACTTCCTTTAAAAGAAGAATAGCAAGAAGCAATAAAAAGGAAGACAGGAGAATATATAAAGAGAAAGTAAAAATGACATGGATAGTAAACCAAAGATCGAATAATGAAAATGCATTTATCTAATCGATAAGACATGATTACAATCAAATGCGATTCCAGATTACTCCTCGATCAAGAGATAATGTATAACAATAATAGACATGTAATTTCATACATTTGTTACTGCTTACATATACCAAGTTTTGTGCAATGATCTTTTATCGTGGAAAAAGCTCTTATCTATGTTTATTATTCATTGCTTATAGTGCAAGAACATGACTATTGTACTTCGAGTACCATTTAATCAACGATTGAGTTATATTACATACATAAATTTAGGCGCATTAAAGACGGCTATCCGTTAAATCGTGTAACAATCATTAAGTACGACAATAATTATAAAAATTTTTATTCGCGCATAACTGACAATATTAAATCTTCTCTCGCAAAAAAAGACGTTGAAAAGAAAACAAGAAAAATAATTGTTTTATTTTAAAGAGACAAGGATCCAATGAAATATGAGTGTATGAAGCTAAAATTTATGTAAAATTATAATCAACAATTTCTTGAGACACTTTCTTTTTTTCATTTCAAACGTTGAGGTCTCTGAGCAAGGTTTCGAATTATTCGCAGGCATTAAATAGCTTAATATTTAATTTTCGTTCTCTTTCTTTCTTTCACTTTCATTCAATCATTCATGTATTATATATTGATTTGGACGTAAGTTAACTTAGTGAAATTCTCGCAAATATCATAAATTGAATTTCATGTGCACCAAGTGCACGCAAGTTTTCGCGCAATACATTGATAATTGATACGTGTACATTCGGCCGAGATACGCACGCACATACGCAAAAAACCGCAGACAAATCCCGCACGGCATTCTTCCTCTCGCATTTCCTCTCCGATCAGATTTTGAAAGTTAATAATCGATTAGATCGTTAGAAATAACTACAACTTTTATGTATGTATGTACATATGTTCAACTCAATCCTCAACCACATTACCAAAAAGTTACAAAAAGAACTGTGAACGTTAAGTTACTATAAAAGAAGAAAAAAAAAAAGACTAACGAGAGAAGAATGGTGTATGTCCATCTACCGAGAGAGACCACTTTTTTTTCTTTACTGATTTATATAACAAGAGGTCTAATGTCATTCGTTAAAGAGAAAAACATAATAATAAAAACACTAAACAATAATAAAAACAATTAGCTGCTCGATGCATTTAGCTAGTGTACGGTATGTGTATATGTAAATACTTTCTTTAAAAAAAAGAAAAATAAAAAACCGTATATTTGACCTATAAAATAAAAATAATTGCTCAAGAAATGTCCTGTGCTCGTAATAAATAATAATAATAATAATAATAATAATAATAATAATAATAAATGTGGAATATATTGATGGAAATAAAAGATCTTGACTGCTTGTGTTTTAACATTGTCAAGAATTTAAAAATAAATAATAATAATACATATAAACAAGCAATATTTTATAACAATGTAAGTAGCATGAGAGCTTCTATCGATGATATAGATTCATTATAAAAAGAAGCATCTCTTGTGTGTGTCAAGACGACACGATTTACTACGAGTAGCGTGTAATTACTCTTTATAGAAATAATAATGGCAATGCAAGCATTATCAACATCATCATTATTATACCTATGATATGTACCGTAGCATGGATCTCAAATGGTAGCTGGACATTGTTAAAAATAAAAATAAATTAGTCATTGAACCATGGAGCTTATTTGTATGAAAATAATAGAAAAAACAGTAAAGAGCAATTAAGTCAACAAGGACTTTGAACTAACTGTATCGCATGTTGCAGGGCATCAGCGATATTCTGAAAAACAGGTACACCTTCGCGCGTTGCATAATCCGATAGGTACATTCTTCCTCGATTGTAATCTTTTCTGGCTTGTTCAGTCAACTAAATCAATTAAAGAAAGAAAATATATTACATTTTTATCGTAAAAAATTATCTTCATAAATGTCTTTATAAACGTTTTATATACCTATATACAGGGTGGATCAAAAATCTGGACACAGTCGAATATCTCGTATAGAATGCATTTTAGAACAAAATGATTTAGACAAAAGTTATAAGGATAAAAAAGATGTATTTAACTGTAACATCCATTTGACATTGAGTGACGTCGCCAAGCTTAGGGCAAAGTCAACTTGAATTTTTTAAATGGAATCCCCTATTTTTTATTGCATATTTTTATAGCTTACCTCGAGAGCTTTCCAAAACACTATAATCAAGTATTTCTTCATTGAATACTTTTCAAGTTACGAGGCTTGAAATAATTTTTTAATTTTACGTAACCCATAAAATATTTAGTAAAAAATTCATTTTTGGATTATTTTACCTTAATACTTTTATGTACAAAATAATGAGAGGAATCAATTGGTGTAAAGAAAACATACAGTTGTTTCGAAGAAAAAATATGGAATTGTTAATTGTAAATTACATATTTTTTCTTCGAAACAACTGTATGTTTTCTTTACACCAATTGATTCCTCTCATTATTTTGTACATAAAAGTATTAAGGTAAAATAATCCAAAAATGAATTTTTTACTAGATATTTTATGATTATTAGTGCGAATTTAACTTTTTGGACTTTAACTGTTTTTATTATAATTATTTGTCTTATTAATTTTTACTCTTTAATGTGCCTCTATTATATTACTGTTTCTACCATCTGAATTTTGGACACATTAATGGGTTTTGATTATTTTGATTTATTTCTGTACGATTATTAATTTTAAATATTTTGTGATTTTGACATCTATACTGTGTGGTTTTCCTTTGCCTAATTTGTACTCTCGATCATTAGAATTTTTCTCATAACCACCAATTTTGACAAATTATTTGATTTTGAATTAGATATTTTATGGTTTATGTAAAATTAAAAAATTACTTCAAGCCTCGTAACTTGAAAAGTATTCAATGAAGAAATACTTTATTATAGTGTTTTGGAAAGCTCTCGAGGTAAGCTACAAAAATATGCAATAAAAAATAGGGGGTTCGATTTAAAAAATTCAAGTTGACCTTGCCCTAAGCTTGGCGACGTCACTCAATGTCAAATGGATGTTACAGTTAAATACATCTTTTTAATCCTTACAACTTTTGTCTAAATCATTTTGTTCTAAAATGCATTCTATGTGAAATATTCGACTGTATCCAGACTTTTGGGACACTCTGTATATACAAGGTGAGGAAAAAATATTGAAACCTTTAAATTTTTCGAAAATTATACATTTTAGAAACAAATGTTTCAGACAAAAGTTGTAGGGTTTCAAGTAACGCATTATGTAGTAATATCAGTATAACCTTGAATAGCACCGTCAAGGTCACATAAAAATCAGTTCGAATTTTTTAAATGGAACCTCTTATTTTTTATTACACATTCTTATAGCTTGTTTCAAGAGCTTTCCAAAACACTATATTAAAGTGTTTTTTCATTGAGTACTTTTCGAGTTATGAGGCTTGAAATCATTTCTTAATTTTTCCTAAACCATAAAATATTTAATAAAATATTCATTTTTTTATTATCTCACCTTCATACTTTTATGCATAAGATAATGTGAAGAATCAATTGGTGCAAAGAAAAAACATAGATTTGAAGAAAAAATATTTTATTGTTTATGGTTTATGTAAAATTAAGAAATTATTTCGAGCCTTATAACTTGAAAAGTACTCACTGAAAAAATATTTTATTATCGTGTTTTGGAGCTCTTGAAACAAGCTACAAGAGTATATAATAAAAAGTAGGGGGTTCCATTTAAAAAATTCAAAGTGATTATTATGTGACCTTGACGGTGCTATTCAAGGTTATACTGATATTGCTACGTAATGCATTACTTGAAATCTTACAACTTTTGTCTGAAACATTTGTTTCTAAAATGCATAATTTTCGAAAAATTTAGAGGTTTCCATATTTTTTCCTCACCCTGTATATATATATATTCAAACATACTTGTTCACCAGACACAATCGTATCCTCGGGAAGAGTTTGGACACAAAGGACGAGCTTAGCGCGCAGTCCAATCAAATGAGCTGCCAACGCCATAATGGCGATGCCGCGCGAGTGCTGCGGCACTATCAGCAGGATCAGCCGCGAATTTTTCATCTTGTGTAATTCCTGCGGCAATATCCTTACATTGTACTCATTCAGGCTCGATCGATATAGAGACAATCTCATGGATCTGGAAAAGAATGAAAAGGAGATTATTGGTTACTATAGGATAGATGATTAGAAGTCGATACTCACTCTAACAGCGGCACTGCAGAAGATTCCAACCAAAACAGATCTTTATTGACCACACCGATATAAATATCTCTTTTCTCAGACTCTTGTGTGAAGGAATTGGTCCAGTCTAAAAAGATTCGAGTTTTGTTACAGATCTATACAAAATAAGCGAAATCAATTACGTGTTTAATCGTGATGTTCCATTTGAAAAGTGATAGAATAAAGGATTCGGAATAGAGGCATAGGAATTGTTATAGTAAGTGCCAGAAATCGCGAGGGAATTCGATCGAGAAATTAGAAATACCTAGAAAACGATTAAAGGGATGTACAATAGCTCGGCGCAGAAAATTTGAAGCCTTCCTACAAAATATATTCCATACTGAAGGTATCTCACTTTCGCAAGAAACGCCATTACTCTTCATCCGCGTCCACGACGTCTCGCTAGCCAGAGCGCAGAACTGCTCGAAATTGATTCGAAATTCTGTCGGATCGCCTTTCGCCGAAAATTCATCTATCAATGTCCTGTACATCTCTGTGCGACAAACGTGTTTGCAATTATTTTCTGTTTCATCAATCAATACACAAGTCAAATCTGATATATGAATATGTTACCGGATTTATTCACCATGTTGAGCAAATCCGAAAGAGGCATGTTGTTACACATTGTGTTTGTCTGCAACATTACCCAAGCCTGGAAATGAAGAATAAAAATATTGTCATCGGTAAATTTTTTAAACGTTATTTCTTGCATTACAAAAAATATGTATACATACTTCTCCCAATTTTACCGTATCGCTGTCATCAACGTTCATAGATTTGAAAATCTCTCGCAATGTTCTAAAACATAAACATGATTTCAAATGCATGATTTGCAAATGCTCTCTTTTATCCCATTTTGTTCACACACGCACACAATTAATTTCTCATAATCAACAGAAACTTACACTGTATCTGTCCCATTTTGGGTAAGCGAGATTCTTATAGGTCTAATGCCATCTTCAGTATATAAATCTGTACAATCCTGCACATTGATCTCTTCACGTAACATCTGTGCATATGTATAATATAAATGTATTAATTATTAGTTCTGCTATACAGGGTGTTTCAGGCCCGTACCATCCATTTAAAAACTAGAGAAGTGGTTATTTAAAAAAAGTAAAAATATTTTCTTTATAAATCGGGTGCTCTCTATTGAATGGTGATATTTTCAACTTCTTTCCGGCCGGAAATAGGCGATTCAGACCGAAAGTGCATTTTTTAAAAAATGGAACCTTCTATTTTTCATTGCATATTTTTGTAGCTTACCTCGAGAGCTTTCCAAAACATTATAATAAATTATTTTTCCATGAAATACTTTTCGAGTTATTAGGCTTGAAATCATTTCTTAATTTTATATCAATCATAAAATATCTTAGAAAATATTCATTTTTCGATTATCTTACCTTAATACTTTTATGTACAAAATAATGAGAGGAATGAATTGGTATAATGAAAACACATAGTTGTTTCTAAGAAAAAATATGTAATTTGCAATTAACAATTCCATATTTTTTCTTAAAAACAACTGTATGCTTTCTTTACACCAATTGATTCCTCTCATTATTTTGTACATAAAAGTATTAAGGTAAGATAATCGAAAAATGAATATTTTACAAGATATTTTACAAAATATTTTATGTAAAATTAAGAAATGATTTTCAGCTTCATAACTCGAAAAGTACTTCATGGAAAAATAATTTATTATAGTGTTTTGGAAAGCTCTCGAGGTAAGTTACAAGAATATGCAATGAAAAATAGAGGGTTCCATTTTAAAAAATGCACTTCCGGTCTGAATCGCCTATTTCTGGCCGGAACCAGAAGTTGAAAATATCACCATTCAATAGAGCGCACCCGATTTATAAAGAAAATGTATTTATTTTTTTGAAATAACCACTTCTCTAGTTTTCAAATGGATAGTACGGGTGATCTGAACATCCTGTTCAGATAATTTGCTCGTTACTTAGAGGCTATTACCTTGGATGTGCAATGAAGAGCAACTGAAACGCTCTCGAATATCGGTATCCTTTGCCTCTCCATTAGATACTGAAGTACCAGCAATCCATTCATCAAATCATGATATTCTCTAAAGAGTAAAGAAATGTGTAAGATGAGGAAAATATTGTAGTAGAACAAATGTTTTAGACTGATTAATCGCCGATTAACGTACTGCATGGAAACGGTCTCTCCGAGTATAGTCTGTCCCTGACGATACGGATAAATGACGAGGACCAGGGATTCACTGCGTGTAGCTGCCAGTTGAGCCGCTTCGATGATGCCCGCGCTATTGCGCGTCTGATTATCGATAACAAATAGCAACACCCGCGCCGTCTGCTTCGCCTCGTACTCCTGGGCTATTAGCTCAGGACCCCATTGCGACACTTGCTGCGATACAAAATTCATTTATATTATTTTTATTTATATTATTTTTTGTGAGCGAGGACAAAGAGATGATAGTGAGCAACCTACAGGATTGTAATAAGTAATTCCGAGATTCTGAAGGGTCGGAATTGCTATGTCTGACCTCCAGGTGGTTGGATTGCAAGACCCGCCCAAAAATACCTCATATGCCATCCTTTCTAAGTGATCGATTGATAAATAAATAATTGAAGAGAGACTTGCCGAGAAAATCTTATTTGATAACTTACTTGAACCAGTTTTGTGATTAGTGTCCTTTCCATTACCGTATAATGAACGAGATGCGTTCATAGGAACAGCTGCCGTTCTAAATATAAATAAGAATAAACATGTAATACGATAATTCCAGGATCTGCATGCTGATCCAGTATTATCACACTCGATACTATAATAGTGACTATTATATTTGTATGTATAAAATTTGATATTTAAAAGTATACAACTGATGTCTGTTCGTTCGACTATATATACTGTATATATCATTCTAATGCTTTGAAAGACGAATATGCTAATAATTGTTATCAAATAATTGTTAACAAGATTTATTGTTCAAGGTGATTGTAATAAACGTCTGCTAATTTTCATTAATGGTAAGAAAATGATCGTTGAGAGTTATCCTGAATCTGTGAATCATCCTGTACAGCAGAGAAGAGAGATGTTATCAATTACATATATATATAATCAGCAAATAAAATTTTATCAGAGTGTGGTAATAGGATACGCTAGATAGTAGCATCAATTATCATTTTTTTAGCTAAACATACTTCCAGATATCAAATAATTTTGCAACAATCGACATCGCATTGCGTTTCATCATTGCTTAAAAACATTCCCCTACTATAATCATAATCAAATGTTCAATACTTTTGCCTGAAACATACAGATCTCCGTTCATCCAATAATCGCGTATACGTAGAGAAAAAAAAAAACTGCGGATAATTTAGCTTACGAGAGAAAAGTGAAAATTTTTATTATACTGCACTAAGCGAATATGTAGTCTTTGAAAAAAACCTAGCAAAATTCTTGGCAAAATCAAACCTGTATAATATATTATAAAATTTTTGTTACCCTCGCTCGCACAGACGTGCCAGTTCTGTGGCAAATATACAGAATTCTTCTAACATTATACAGACACCGATACATTCAGGACAGTCCTCAGTGTCGCGCTGCAGCTTGTTGCGCAGCTGTAAACAGTTTAGGAACAACAGCATCACGTATATTTCTTGTATCTGGAATTAATCAAGCAGTTCCCTTTTATTCCTTTCAATTCTGCTGATTAAATGGGAGCTAAATACAAATATAAAGATTGTACTTACACAGGATACACAGCTGACTGTTGAATTTACATTTAGTTAAGATCTGCCGATAAATATTCCTCATCATTTAAAACTATACAATCGATTTAAATTCTTGCTTCCAGAAGTATGAATGTATCTATAAATTTCTCGATCTGGACTTTCATAGTTTCCTATGGAAAAAAAGTATGTGAGATAATAGCTTCTATTAAGAAAAATGTCAAGTATACAGTTTAAATATAAATTCACTTTTCATATAATGTAACAAATAATTAAGAGACTTCCCCTTTTATTCTATTTTAAATATAACAATTATACCAACCTCGACGACATTTTTGTTAGACATGCTAGCATGTTTACACCACCAAGAGAGTAACAGAGTCGAACTTCTTGTCTTTTCACATTAAAAGCTTTACCTGAGGATAAAACACAAAGAACTTTTAACAAACCTTGAATCTAAATATATTTGTGATTTAGCATTAGCAATACTAGAGGTGACATAAAACCCAATAACGGGTTTTTATCAAATCTGATTCTTACTCCATACCAATCATATGGTATGTCACGATTACTCACTAACATTCTCAAGAAATGTATACTGTCACGCAATCATGATTTCTCGTCATTTCCAATTACTAAATCGTTAAAATCGTATGATTCACTTGCAAAGTATTTCAAAAAGATACACGCATCGAAAAAAAAAGACAAAAGAAAGTCAAATGCGAAGCGTCTTGTCAACAAATCGCAGTCACAACAAATCGCGAGCGAGCTATCGTGCGCGCGCGCGCAGCGCACACACACACACACACACACACACACACACACGTGCGCGCGCACACATATACAGGGTGTCCCAAAACTCATAATCAATCTTTCAAAGACAGATTCCTGGGATCATCTGAAGACGATTTTTCCTCAACGAAAATCTCGAGGCACTAATAATTTTCGAATTATAAGTGATTGGAAATAAGGGGTTTTTAGTAAACTAAGCTTTGTAGAAATAAAATATTAACAAAGCCACATTCTTCGATTAATTTTAAATAGAGTTTACTTTAGTTGAGTTTTAATTTAAGGCTTAATTGCAAAGATATACGATGACAAAAATCGGGAACGTGCAAAAAATAATGGCCTTCATCGACATTTTCACTGAGGAAGAATCGTCTCCAAATGATCCCAGGAATCTGTCTTTGAAAGATTGATTATGAGTTTTGGGACACCCTGTATATATCTAGACACACACACACACACACCACGCAATCACCTTGTCCGCGTCGTTTCTTCTCTTACGAAAGCGCGGAATCGATCAGATTCGTAGAGTTTCATGCTAATATTCAAATGGTGTATGATTAAATCTTCATTCTGTCACAATATTACGTAAAATTGATGACACGTCTAATTTTTTTCTAGACGAAGTTTCATACATTCATGTATATTCGCTAGAGAAACAATTTGTCTTTCTCTCTCTCTTTCTCTTCCGTATCACTACACTGGAACTTTATCGAGACCCCGAGTTTAGAACTAGCGACTTTCTCTCTCTCTCCCTTCCTCTTATCGCCCTCGGGTTTATCATCCTTGTCGAAGAGAAGCGCGCAAAACAAGGAGCAAACACAGACTAAGTTTCCACCGAGAGTTCGAATCGGGTCAGAGTTGGGTCGGAATCGGGTCAGAGTCAAGTTGGAGTGAACTTTTTATGATGGGAACACCAATAAACCCTAGTCTGACCCAACTCTGACCCAACTCTGACCCGATTCGAACTCTCGGTGGAAAATCTTAATCGTACTAACCTTGATGAGGTTCGGTGGCGTTTGTATGCACAAAGGGCACACGGGAAAAAAGTTACGGTGTCGAGTGCATCCGATGCTCACTTTCTTTCTCTCCCTCTCTCTCTCTGTCATTCACTCACTCTACGTAGATCGTTTCTCTCGTGCGCGCGCGGAGAGCGCGTGGATAAACAACGCGCGAACGGGAAGAAAAATCAGCCCCACCACGCACTCCCGCTATTGCTCATACTTATTTATATATATAAACGTTATATTTAAAATAAAAGAGAGGCGCGCCGCGTATCGTACGCACACCGACCTGGAGAGGAGATGGCAAGAAAGGGCCGATCTTTCAATTACATCTTCGACTGGTGATTTGCGGCGAGCAATAATGACCAAGTTGAAGTCGAATTGCACGAAAATCTTGGCTGGAATTTCACTTGTAAAATGTATGTCAGTGAAAAATCTTAGCGTCTTATTCGCGATCCCTGACTGTGTACACGCGCCCACCGAAGCGAGTTTTGACAGTGAAAACACTAGAAACTCTATTCGTTGTCGTTTCCGATTTAATGTCGGGACAGCATGCGATTGAAACTCGCACAGGTCAGCGACGACGTGGGCGACATTTTATCGCTTGTTGTCTTTTCCGCGACGAAAAGGAGGTTGTGCGTGCGTGCGTGCGTGCGTGCGCGCGCACGCCCGTCCGTTATCTCCGCGCACCACGCACACTCTCCTCGCTGAACGGATTCAGGAGAATGACGTAAACCTCCAACAATGAAGCGTGATGTCACACACGGTCAGACGAAGTCGCATGCGCCGTCGCTTCGTGCGCATGCGCGCCTGCGAGGACCTTGAATTTCGTCGACGCTACTGTCAGTACGCGCGTCCAGCGGGTGTGCGCGCGCGCGCGCGCACGTGTAGCGGTGACGTCATCGTCCGTCTTCGCGATGAGGCGCGCGCCATGGTTCAAAAGATACTGCCGAGTCGATAAAAGCTATGACCGATGCGATCACGAGCGATTTTTTCGATCGATATCATCATACATAACGGACACCTTTTTTATTGTTTCACGCATGCGTGCGCGCGGGCATATTTGCGGGGAAACGATCGCGCGGATCAGTCGAGACGAAAGTGTCGCTCTTTTTTTTTTGCACTCCGGCTGACGTAAGCAAACACACGCGAGACTTTGACGCAAAAGCATTGCTGACTCGTTTTTATTATTGTTACATTATTTAGAATTGACTTAGATTATTTTAGAAAAAACTTAGGAAGCAAGAGAGACATTTTTAAGATTAGTTAAATATATTGAACGTATATTAGAGTTTTTTTTTAACATACTGTACGTAATCTTTATACGTACGTTCCGAAAAAAAAGTAATTTTTTAGATAATTTTATAAGGAAAAGTTTATATATATTTTACCATTCCAAATCCGATCTTAATAGCTCCTTGCCATTAATGATACTAAAATTTTTTAGTTATTACAGTTGATCTATTAGCTAATACTAATACACAATAATAATTAGACTCTTTTTTTTTGCACTCCGGCTGACGTAAGCAAACATACGCGAGACTTTGACGCAAAAGCATTGCTGACTCGTTTTTATTATTGTTACATTATTTAGAATTAACTTAGATTATTTTAGAAAAAACTTAGGAAGCCAGAAAAAAATTTTTAAGACTAGTTAAATATATTGAACGTATTAGAGTTTTTTTTTAACATACTGTACGTAATCTTTATACGTACGTTCCGAAAAGGAAGTAATTTTTTAGATAATTTTATAAGGAAAAGTTTATATATATTTTACCATTCCAAATCCGATCTTAATAGCTCCTTGCCATTAATGATACTAAAATTTTTCAGTTATTACAGTTGATCTATTAGCTAATACTAATACACAATAAATTTTAAAATAATAATTAGACTCTTCAAAAACCTCGAAATTTAAAAAAAATACTTATTTTTTTGTCAAACATTCTATACTTCTAAACTTATTGTCTAATTCCATAGACATAGTAATATTAGATCGAGTATGAGGCGCCAAGCCTAAGGTATAGATAGAAAAAGACGGAAAGTAGATGCTGTCCACCTTTCTCTTTCTAATAAGAGGAGAGTGGGGGTAAGAAAAAGTGAGGGGGAAAAGTGATTGTCCCTCTTTCGTATCCCACTCCGTCCTTGTTAGAGAAAGAAAAGTAGACAGGATTTACTTTCCTTCCTTTTCTACCTGAGTTTCAGTGCTTACAAAAGGACACGCTCGGTTTAATATTACTATGTCTGTATATGTCTAATTCTGAATTTATATTGTCAGCTGTTTATACAATGATATACATATTCTATATACAAATTCTTCTTCATAAAACCATATAAAAAATTATTTCTTTTTGGGGACATACTTGAAGAGGTTACTCTGTATTTTATGCTTGATTACTATAAGATACATCAATCGCAAAATAATTGCGTCCTACGTATCAAGTAGTTGATATTAAAGATGAGAAAGATATTGATAGTAAAGATGAGAAGTTGATATTAAAGATAAGAAAACGGTCAATAATACATAAATATTATATTTACAAATTTCATAAATATTCGGCATTAATAATATACTTGTAGCGAATAATTATCAAAATAATCGTCATGTAATTATTAGCCATGTAATCGATTGCGTTTTGAATATACTTAAAGTCTCGAAACGCAATTTATTTGCGCGAGTTTCAAATTCGAGCGATTGTCGCAAGTCACGGCGAAATTTCGTCGCCTTAAGAACGGTCGATGACATCAGTCCGGTCAGATTCGTCGTTAGATTTCACGCGCACTCAGATCGTCCTTAAGGTTCCTTTCCTTGCGTCTAAAAGAGCCTCCCCGCGAACGCTCGGTAAGCTTTTTAGAATGTGTCGAATGCGCGAGCGAAGTAAAAGGGAACCGGCCGGCCGCCGTGCACGACGTTTTTGATCAAATATGGTATGAGAGTTCGAGCGCGACATATTTGAGAATTCTCAAGTTTATGTCGTGCGTGAACATGGGCATTTATTTTTCGATCATTCATCGAATTCTTTCGGTCAAAAATGGATTTTAATTGATAAGAGAAAAATGTTTTATATGTTAATAACAACTAAGATATTTCAAAAGAAGTAAGGTTCTCTGTTTTATCACGGCTTTTATTTACAATTTATGCACAAGGATTGGATTTATTGTATTAAAATTGAAGTTAATGTCTGTTTTTTAATATAGTCTTTGAGAAAACTGATACACTTGTCCTTCGCATGAGTTTATTTTTATTTATTTATTTATTTATTTAAAAACGGAATAAATTATTTTGGTAACAAAAGAATAATTACATGATTAGTATTATAATAAGAATTACAAAGTTATAAATAAAGCAAATTAATAATAAAAAGGGAAAAGTATATTAAAAACAACTCTAATTTAATAAGAATAATGGAATAAGCAATTTCTAAATGAGTTGGATCGCATATTGAAAAAAATAATCTGAAAATTTATTAATGTATCATAATATGTACAAACGATTGAATGAGCGCGCGTTGCTGCTCTTGATGAAATAATGAATTAAATTTTAATAATAAAAGATTCTTAATAAAATTCTCTCGGAAAAGATCCTAACGTTTGAATCATTCTTCAAGCATTTTGTATTACTGCATCACATATATCAAGAAAATAATTTGAAGAAAAAGAGCTAGGCTTTTCTGCAGAAAATATTTTTCAAGATAATGCAGATATTATCGTACACATCGAATTTAGGAACGTTTGTAACCACTTGATTAGAACATTATGGAGCATTCTTCTTATTATACAATCTGATCTGGCTCCTTTCGATTTCCGTTTGTTTAAATCCCCCAAAAAAATCTTGAAGGAAGACGATTTCCAGATGATACAGAATGCTGTTCAAGAATAGTTTAAACATCAAGAGCAATTTTTTTCGAGAGAGAATCTTCAAACTCGCGTTAAGATGGAATAAGTATATCAATCTTGGCGAAGATTTGAATTGAAAAATAGTAATTATAACACAATAAATTCAATTTATGCATAAGTGATAAATAAAAGTTATAATAAAATAGGGAATCTTCTTTATCCTACTTTTTTATCAAGATTATGAGAGTTATTAACTTTTAAGATTACATTACATTACAAAACAAATATTTCTATGATAATGTTAGCATATTTTTTTATTTGTTCGCGACTTACAATTAGTTATTTCGTCGAGATGTTGAATATATTGACCAAACATCATTATTCCCAGGCTTTATTTTTTAAAAAGAGATCGGGGACTGTGAGTTTTGATATCGCACACGGTATGCAGATCAATAGAGATATCGAATTAGTTAATAATTCGAGATGAACTGGTCAAATTGAGCAACATATGTAAATTATTCTTTCGTTACACTTTGTCTTTCTTCTCTAAAATGTAAATGAATGTTGCTTTATCTCTAAATGTAGCAGATATATAAAAATTCAGTTAGGAATAACATCAGATTGATACAATATAGGAAGGAATTATTAATCGATTCGCAAAAATAACTAAACGTAAGACATACCTTAAGTAATTACAACACAGTATAAACAAAAACATACGATAAAAATTTCGTGGTAATGTCGAGAGATCGCGGAGGCGCGAATCGCGCGCCGATTGGCAAAATAATAGATTACTATAGAGTTCTAACTATAGAGGAGTTTTCATGGAGAAGTTGTGCGTGTGCGGCCTGTAAATTGACAGTTGGAAATATTTGATAAAAGAATAAGAGCATAAAGTTAAAAAATAAAAATGATTATAACAGTATATTAAAGTATAAATATTTGGGATCATAATTAGCGATGTAAATAGGAAAAACCAAACTATATTTTTTTTTCACAAATATGATTTTTTGTGAAAAAATATAATAAGCCTCTTTTTTCTCAAAATTTTAATTTCTTTCAGATATTTAATATTTTCATATATATTTTGAATATTGTGCCAATTGATTTTTCATTATTTTTAATTTTTTAAGTGGTAGATTTGAATTAACCAGCACTTTTAAATTTATCATATTTTAATTTTGATTGTATACTTGTGATTATAATTTTTAACTAGAAATAAATTCTTCAAAAACAAATCAAAATTGAATTTGAATAAATCTTTATAATATATACAAAATATGTATAATTTTTAAAAATATGCATTAATCATTATTTTAATATAATAAAAAATTAAAGTTTTTATATTTTTAATTTATTTTTTTGAAAGTAATTTTAATGGATTAATGAGATTTTTGTGATTTTGCGAAAATATAATAATATTAAACATGATATAATTCAGATAATTTTCAATGCATCCCAGGTAGCAAGCACACGTCATTCTGACATTTCAAATTGGTCATTCACTGACTAATCTTGACGTTACGAATTGACGTTTTTATGACGTAAAAGTGACGGTCTAATGTCTCAGATTGTTGAAGTCATGAAATGTACCGCATTTTGACGTAAAATGTATCATATTTTGACGTCTTTTTCTTAGCATAATAAAGTACTTAATAACGTTGTTGAATAAAACAGATTAACTGATTCGAGAGCATCATTAAACATAATTATAACCATTCCATTTTTCATAAGAATCTTGGATCGATTAAACTGCTTTATTCGAAAACGCAAATATGATAAGAAAATAGGTCAAAAGTTTTATATTTGTTATTATTATTTTATTTAAATGTAAATAAAAACTTACATTTAATATCATATAAAATTTTAACAAATAATGTCTTTCGTTGCCTGCGTTTTATAAAAATATATTTTTCTAATTAACTGTATTATAAAAAAAATATTTTTTGGCACTTTAATTACTTAATTGATATAGCTAATATACTGTGCACTAATGAACACTTGAGTGGTTAAGCAACATGAATCATGTACAGATAAACGCATGCGTCGAGAGAAAAATTGTTAAAGTCTGATCGCGAAAGTCATGTTATATGAAAAATTTTAAAAGATTTTTTTATGGGATCGATGTATTAACTAATGGCATTAATAATAAAATAATCGTCAGTTCATGATTAAAATATGACGTCAAATAATGTTATATCAAGACGTCAATATAAAATCATGTAACAAATCAGTCATTTTGATGACATATGACCAAAAATGACTACTTTGAAACGTCAAAAAAACGTGTATTTTGCCTAGGATAATAAAATGCATTATAAATAATAAATAATAATAATAAATCTCCCTAACAGCACACATATCTAAAAGATATCCAGAGGATAGTCAGACAGGATGTTTTATATTCTCTGGATGTGCTTTGGATGATTTCTGAATGTCTTTTGAACATGTGCAATTAAGGCTAATTAAATAAATTAAAATGTTTATTATATACATATAATACCTAAAATAAAAATCTTGATTATCCATCTATTTAAAAATTGTCCAAATCATGTCATGTTTGATGTAATTTTTTACAAAAATTTTATTAAATCATTAAAATTATTTAAAATAAATTAAAATTAATTTTGAAAGAGTAAATTAAAAATATATAAGAATTTTAGTTTTTTAATTTAATTAACAAAAAATATGAAGAAAAATAATATTATATTAAAAAAAATATATATATATATTTATATATATATATATATATATATATATACACATATATTTTTAATATAATATTATTTTTTTTCATTTTGTTAATTAATATATATATATATATATATATATATATATATATATATGTGTGTGTATATATATATTATATATATACTATATGTATATTTATACTACATATATATACATACATACATATATATATATATATATATAAATATATATATTATATATTACATATATATTTTGTTTGTTTTCTATTAAGAAAATATTTCCTACATCTTTAGTCATAATACATACACGAAATTCTAAATATGACGTTCGATCCGGAAATGTCCAACTTCATACATGCCAACTTATGCTGTTGCGAAATGATACAATCGTCTATATTTACTTTATTTGTCGTTTCTTTCCCTCTCTTTCTTTCCCCTTTTGACTGATCCCTTCTCTCCATAAGAGAATATTATTGAAACGAACGTAATTGATAATGCGGAAATTATTTAAAATGATATAATCGTTATTTTCATTGCGCTTTCCGAATGCGCATTGACGTCGAAAAGTGTACATAGTGCACACTTTTGTTACATATGTATACAGTGCAATTTTCTAATCTGTTACGTGAAATCTGAGAAGCGTTTGTGACTAGATTTATGCGTAAAAGGCTTTAGAGATCAAAGCGAAGAAGGTTTTCGTTTAATTATTTCACACTCCAAAAAGCGAAAATAAGAACGAAAGACGCGAAAAATGGCTGAAATTAATTGGCAAAAATACATTGCCATCAAGGGTTCATGCAAATATATAATTCGAATAAGCCGCTCGTTGGAGCCAAAATGGCGAATGATTGCGGTACTTTGTGTAGTGACTTTAGAGGCTATTCGACAATATTGAACTATATATAAACTGGAATGGGAACGAGACTCTGTCTAATGGGAACTCTGATTAGACACAGTACAATTGAACACAACTGGCTTTGATTGGCTAATCGTGCTTGATCGTGCTGGTTACCCTAGGCATCGGTTGATATGATTGGCTGTGTCTAATCCCCATGGGAACTGCCCATCGACATATACACTGGACTGAGCATCGCGATAGACAGGCGAGCGCTCGCTGTAGAGAGAAAGGTACTACATGGGAGACCTATTCTGTCTCTTTTGCTAGTATCTCATTGGTAATTTTGTTTCCCGCCTCGATGGGCAGGAGCTGCTATTGTAAATACATAAAGGCTATAGCACACGGATATCTATAAAACAGCCATAATACATAACCGAAGCTCAAGAACCAATCAGATAGTCGGTTTAGATTTTATATGCTAAGGAAACAGAAAATTACTAAAAACTTAAGCGTAAGAAAAATTTCAATCGGTTAAAATGCTAGTTACTTCTGCTTACAGCTAACTTTATCATCATTTCTATCGTCTTCTAGAATACATAAAGCTAAAGCAATATTCTGATTGGTTTTTCAGCTTACGTTTACGTTTTACGTTTATGGTTACGGCAATTCATGGGGAGGGTGGGGGGTGAAGCCAGATATTGACAGTTTAAAACAGAGAGGGAACGTTGAATGGCCTCTATGATTTCTCTTTCTATTCTATAGACTGTCAAAAGCAATATGGTGTGATATGACACAAACGCAAACTGGACATGCGAAACAGTATATGAGTAAAAATACACGTAAAAATATATACACATATATAAATTTGTTGAAAAAAATATTAAAAATATTACATTAAAAAAAAAACAAAATGGCTGTTTGCTGTATTTGTGGCATCGATTATGCACCAAAATCAATTGGTGAAATTATTTTCCATAAGAATATAACCTAAATGTGTGAATTTAAGATATAAATTTGCCCGTTAAAATTAGAATATGTGTAATATATTGCAATTATATTATTATATTATTTTAATTTTGATTCTGTTTTTATTTCTGTACCACCTTATATATCTTGACAGCTTTGGGACGGCCATTTGCTTCTTGTATGATAGAAAAGGAAAGCATAGATGCCGTTCAACGTTCTCACTCTGTCTTAAACTGTCAATTTCCGGCTTCACCCCTCTCTGAGAATGTTTGGTCTAGTTATATACGTCATTGCCATAACTCGTTAAAGGAGGATTTACATTACGTCCCAAACCCATTGTATTCAATCGGATGTCATACATTGGACATTGAATCCGCAATGTAAATCCTCCTTTAACGAGTTAAACTTCGGTCAGAATAAGTTGTGAAACTGGGCCTTAAAAATTTAATTTTTTTAGTGTTATAAATATGAACTTTAAAAAATATAAGAATCTTTTTAAAAGATATTTTCTGCTAACATGCACCGAGGAAGAAAGGTCATTTACTTGATTAAATACACTTAATCATATTTATATGCTAATCATTTCTTTAATTATAGTTTGTTTAAATAGTAGGTTATTTAAATATAACGTTATTACTTAAAATATTTAATTATATAAAAATTTAATTAAATATTTTAATTAATGATAACAATTAAATGCATTTAATCAAATTGATTTTTTTCTTGTCATTATGCAAGCATAATTAATATAGTAAATATATTAAATATAATAAAACAAGAAAAGTAAAAATAATAAATAATTGTGATGTGATGTAAGACATATTTTTGAAACATATATAAAAATTATATTTCGAGAGAAATATATATATCACAGGCTAAATAAATAAAAATTATATTAATATTGATAATTTTTAAATTAACAAAAAAAAACGGTGCCAACAGTACATGGTATTCCCAAGCGGTCACCCATCTAAGTACTAACCATGCCCAACGTTGCTTAACTTCAGTGATCGGACGAGAACTGGTGCTTTACAACGTGGTATGACCGTTGACAATATTAAGTCTTTCGGTTACTACTGATATATATAATTACAAATTTTTAGAATATAATTTATAAATTTTCAAATATATTTATTCTCTTTCTTATTAAACTTGTATATAATAATTGAATATCTAAAAGTATTTTTGCATTAGTATTTATTTGAATTATATCTTGAAACAAATGAAACAATTATAAAGAGAATAAATGCGTTTGAAAAGGACCCCGCATAAAACTTATGAAAAAATTGTTTCGCGTGCGCACGCATATATACAGAATGTCTCGTTTTAATTATGCACCCCGATTAACATCGGAGAAAGTAGTTGTATGACAAAATGTTTCAAAAGTTGTAGGATTCGGAAGGAGACATCTAATGGTGACATTGGTCTGACCTTGAGTGAACGTGTAAAGGTCCTATAGAGTTCAACTTTGTTTTTTTAAGGGCGAGGTAAGGTATTAAAATTTTTTTTTTGCATTTTTTTTTAATTTTTTTAACTGAATGCATAATATCTCAAGAATATTGTCAAAATTTCAAGTCGATCGGAGCAAAATTGACGACGTTATGAGTATTTTTATACCTGTCGGATTTTTATACCTGCCCGGCCCGAGCGCGCTATTGTTACCTGGCAGCTGTTTCGCTCTCTATATAATACCTAACCTTACCCCCTACCTTTCTTTATAGAAATTTTAACACAAGTACAAAACGTGCTTATACCTGTACTGTATATTTAGTCAGTGTAGAGTAAATAATTTAATGTAGCAGTAAACATTCTATCGAGCAGACGTACACGCGCACTCCGATTTTCGCATCATTTTAGCTCCGTTTTCGTTCAGTTTTGTGTTAAATTATTGCTAAAATGCCTAAAAAAGTTAAAAGATCTGATAGAAAATCAACTGGTTCGAGATTATATCGACCTAGAAAAATTATACCTCCGCAAAAACGTAAAAGCGAAGACGTATCAACAAGTAGCGCGTCAGCTAAAAAAATAAAAGTGACCGTTGAAGATCAAGTTACAGAGGATCTTGAAAAATACTATAGGATAATAGATTTTTTATTAGTCTTTTCAACAATTGCTACGCTAGTGAAGTGTGTAAAATGTGATGGAAAAGTAAATTTTAATTCGACTAAGAAAGAAGGCCTTGGATTTAACATCAAAGTGTCGTGCGAAAGCTGTAAACAGATTACAAATGTTCCGTCTAGTGTAAGAATAAACTCTGGTATTTACGAAGTTAATTATCGGTTTGTTTTCGTGATGAGGATATTAGGCCTTGGATTAGCTGGCTGTGAAAAGTTTTGCGGCTTGATGGATTTGTCTAGTAGCTTTTTATCAAGACCGACGTACAATGATTACATGAAAAAAATGTGCTCGACTGTAAGAGAAGTAGCGAATCGATTTTTTTTATCTGCTACAAAAGAAGAAAAAGCAGCAACAGCCAAAGAAAAAAAAACTGAAGATGCCGACGAACTCACTGTATCAGGCGACGGTACATGGAAAAAAAGAGGCTTCTCATCTTTATTCGGCGTCACCTCGTTAATCGGTTACTTCACAGGTAAAGTCCTTGACATTTTCGTCAAAAGTTCATACTGCCACGAATGTAAAACTTGGGAAAGTAAATTAGACTCTGCCGAATACGAAGAGTGGCATGAAGCTCATGTAAATGCTGGAAAGTGTCAGGCAAATCATACTGGTGCAGCTGGAAATATGGAGGTCGAAGCGATAAAAACCATGTTTCAACGCTCGGTAAAGAATGGTGTGCGATATCGCAACTATATCGGCGACGGTGACTCTAAAGCTTACTCCGGATTAGTGAATTCTAAACCTTATGGTGACGATTTTTCAATAGTGAAAAAAGAATGTGTAGGACATGTTCAAAAAAGAATGGGCACTCGTCTGCGTGAAATAGTCAAAAAGACCGTTGTAGATACTGAAACTAAGGCTGGAAAGAAGATCAAAAGAAAGAGTCTGTCTGTTAAAGGGAAGCTTACGGCTAAAATGATTGATAAACTGACGGTATACTACGGTTTGGCTATTAGACGTTACTCTGATTCCGTGGAAAATATGAAGAATGCTATCTGGGCAACGTTCTTTCACTACAATTCGACGGACGAGAATCCACAGCATAAAAAATGCCCGAACAGCGCGGACTCCTGGTGCGAATGGCAAAAAGCTGCAGCTGCTAATGCATTGGATTCGTTCAAACACACGTACAGTGCTCTTCCCAAGGATGTTTTGGATGCCATCAAGCCTATCTATGAAGATTTGAGCAAAGATGCCCTCCTGGAGCGATGTGTCGGAGGCTTCACGCAGAACAACAATGAGAGTTTGAACCAATTTATTTGGAAAATCTCACCAAAGCACTTGAGTGGTACCTCTGTCATCGTTGAGATTGCAGCTTATGTGGCAGCCTGTGTCTTCAATGAAGGTTCTTTTGCTTTACTAACCTTCATGCAAGACATGGGAATCAGTAGTGGACCAAGCGCTCATGATTGGGCGCGATCAACTGACTCCATGCGTATAAGCCGAGCAGAGCAGGAAGCTGAAAAACAGACTAAAGAAGGCAGGATTCGTCGTAGACAGGAGCAAAAAGATGCTTTAGACATCATGGATGATAGCAACATCCTTTATGGACCTGGCATCGATGATTCAGTGTGAGGTAAGCCGATAAAACTCGCTTATGAACGTTTTATTCCAAATTTTTTAGTGTTCAAAACTTTAAAGCGTTTTTCTCACAACTCACGTTTTCAAAGTCGGTGCCCCTCATAACTTCAAAACTACTGCACCGATCTTTTTAAAGTTTTAAACACTATTTCTGTACATAATTTACGAGGTAACGCTGGAGATTTTTTTCAAATTTGTTAATATTTTTTATTTTACAATAACAAATTAGCCGATTTTTTTCGCAAAAATCGCGTTTTTCCCTTCAAAGTGTTCCCAAAAAGTGAAAAATTGAAATTTCGAAAAACCCTCCCAGCGTTACCTGGGGAAAGCGATTATCTAACGAAAGAACATTGATTTTTTGATTTCAGATGATCCAGCACCGAGTTATGAGGGGTACCGCAATTCTATTTTTTTCCGAGACGCTTCCGAATAATTGCTGTCATTGCCGTATTTTTTAATATTTCTTCATGAAAATATTACACAATATTCTTCGAATGTTATACTTTAATGTACCATTGGTTTTAATAAATAGATTTTAACTGTGTAGTCAAAAAAAATTCACAAAAATGTGCCTTTTTTTGCACGAATTAACTTTACCCCGCCCTTAAATGAAAAAAAATATATTTACCATCTTTGAAAAAATTTTATACCTTTAAAAAGAACATCTATTAGTGTTTTTTTTATTAAATGTTTCTTATTAAATATTTATCTTAGTAATATACATACAATTATTTTACATACACTCGACACCAGAATATTTTAATACGTGCAATAAATGAATTATTTCCTATTTACTTATTTAATTGAGAAAAATTTGTTTGAGAGAAATATTCTGAATCCCAAAACGAGGGGTCCAGATTATTAAAAAAATTATTTGTTTAATAATCTAGATTCCTTATTAGGATTCAGAATATTAAATAAATCAAGTCAGTTTATCAGAAATTAAACTAACACAAGACAAGAAATATAATTATTATATTAGTCCTTTGTAGACCTTCCCTGATGAAAATTGAACGCTTCTCGAAGTGTCAAAGAAGCGTAAACGAACAGAATAAACGCTTCTTAAAAGCTTTATTGACTTCCCATTAACTCTTCGCGATTTTAAATCTTCATGCATATTTCTTGAACGCTCCATAAAGTGTGTATGAAGCATTCCGTTACGCTTCCCATACACGCTTATGCTTTAATATTTCATGTTTTCCTTTACGTTTCCTAAACGTGAACGTCCATAAAATGTGAACAAAGCGCTCCAATACGTTTTCCGCACACTTCAATGATTGACATTTAGAAACTCTTCATTTACGCTTCCTAAACGCTCCATAAAAATGTGAACGAAGCACTCCAATACGCTTTCTATACACTTCAATGATTGATTGATTTAGAAACTCTTTATCCACATTTCTACAACGCTTAAACACTGCATAAAACATATATGAAATACTTTCCATACTCTTTAACAATTTAAAGAAATAATTTTAAAGATGTCAAAGTTTTGCGCAAGCACACAAGGATCTGTACGTTCGTTTACCGCTATGCGATGCGCTATCTTTCTCGTATTTAAGTTTAGTTATGAAAATTATATAAAGCTTATAAAGAGTAGCAAATAAGATTAAAGATATACTTCAATTTAATTTCTGATCTCGATACACGAGCTTCAGATATTAAATTGATTTTTATAAGTCGGACAAGTAAATGTCTGGCGAATAAACGAAAATTATCCGTTCATTATATCTATTTCAAATGTAAAGTGCAATATTAACGGCATAGTATACGAGGGCAACTTGAAAAGTTTCTTAAGTCGGAAAGAAAACAACATTTTTTCGGAAAAGTTTTATTTTATTTTTCAATATAATCTCCTTTTAAGTCAATACACTTAGTCCAGCGATGCTCCAATTTTTTCAAGCCGTCCAAAAAGTACGTTGGCTGAAACTCTGTAAAATAGGCGTTCGTGGCGGCGATGATTTCCTCATTCGACGCGAATTTTTTTCCTCCGAGCCAAATCTTCAGATTTGGGAACAAAAAGAAGTCGCATGGGGCCAAATCTGGAGAGTACGGTGGATGGGGCAGCAATTCGTATCGTAATTCGATCAATTTTGCGGTGGCAACTGCGGATGAATGGGATGGTGCATTATTGTGGTGGAACAACACTTTTTTTTTGGCCAAATGAGGGCGTTTTCCCTTCAATTCTTTGTTGAAACGATCCAGTAAGTCGGCGTAGTATTTTCCCGTAATCGTTTTTCCCTTTTCTAAGTAGTCGATGTGGATAATGCCTTTAGAATCCCAAAAAATGGTGGTCATGACCTTCCCAGCCGATGGAACTGATTTGGCTTTCTTCGGGACCGGTTCACCAGACAAAGTCCATTGCTTCGACTGTTGTTTTGTTTCGGGTGTGTAGTGATGAATCCATGTTTCGTCCACGGTCACATATCGACGAAAAAATTCTCGTGGATTGCTCTTAAACAGATCCAAACACTGCTTAGAGATGGTCATACGCACGTGTTTATTCTCCACCGTAAGCAAACGCGGCATCCATCGCGACGTCAGCTTTCTCATGCCCAATATTTCATGCAGGATATGAAATACCCGTTCTTCTGAGATGCCTACCATCTCTACTATCTCACGCAACTTCAAACGGTGGTCACTCATAACAATATCGAGCACTTTACTGACCATTTCTTCATTGGTAGCGGTTTTCGGGCGTCCACTGCGTGGTTCATCATCGGTGTTGGTACGACCACGTTTAAATTCGTTTACCCAAAAACTGATGGTTGGTAATGAAGGAGTAGATGTGCCATGAATCTCCTGCAACTCTGCTTGAATCTGCGTAGCTGTTTTCCCTTTCAAAAAAAGTGTTTTATCACTGCACGAAACTCCTTTTTATCCATTGTTGAAAAAATGTTTGACTTGCTTTGTTTAACTGCTCCCAACTAAGTGACGAATTGACGTAATTGTCTGAAAATTTTACAGCAACCATAAAAGATGTCGCACTTTTCGGTCATTGGCCGGTATTCATAGTCCGATCTTATATTTAAGATCGTCTTAAGTCTGGTCCGAGGTTGACTTAAGACCTCATTCAATCAATTAAATAGCTGCGTAGCATTTCAAGCTCGAACTTAAGACGATCTCAAATATAAGATCGGACTATGAATACCGGCCATTGCATCTTTTTTGCGATACGCGCGCTATCTCTGTGTGACTTAAGAAACTTTTCAAGTTACCCTCGTAAATATAGTAGAGTATAAACATTTCATTCGTATTCGCTAATAAATTTGATAACATTTGCGTTCTTTAAAAATTATATTAGATATTTTTAATTCATGTTTGTCATCGAAGAGTTCGATGATGTTTCGTTTGCGTTTCTTAAGAAGTTTGATGATGCTCCGTTTACATTTGAAAGATATTTTGTTCACGCTTGTCGGAGAATTTGATAACGCTTCGTTAACGCTTTTCTAACACTTAATAGCCGCTTTCTTTACATTCCGATGTCTCAATTTACGCCTTTTAGTAATTTCATTTACGCTTCCGTCACTCTTCTGTTACATTAAACTTATTTTTTTTTACTCTCCAATTCCTCCTTTGTTAACGTTCGATTTACATTTTATTTTCGCCAGGGTTAAGCCGGATCTACATTGATCGTATTGTAACATCGCAAGTCGTAAGTTGTAGGCAAATTGACCAATCATGTTTGATTATTTTTGAAATAATCGACTATGATTGGTCAATTTGTCTACGACTTACGATTTGCGACGTTACGTTACGACCAATGTAGATCCGGCTTTATATCCACTTTAGATGAAAATTCGAATTAGTTAAGTTTGGTGTCGCCACGTAGCGGCAAATAAGAAACACATGTTATACACTTTCACTATGTCAAAATGTTGCTGCAACCAGAGAAAAGAATGAGAGGTGTTGCGGCCCACTTTTAGTAGAGCACTAAATATACAGGTATTCTATACTCCGCCATTTTTAATCCATTCCCCCTCCTTGTTTCTCGTGTCACTCGCCTCGTCGCTAAGCTGAGATTATAGTAGATAGGTTAGTGAGATTATGAGTGGGTGGGGGGATGGATTAAAAATGGCGGAGTATAGAATACTCATATATTTAGTGCCTTACTTTTAGATGATCTCTGAAAGCGATACGCCCTCTGTGGACTTTAAAAACGTGCACCTATCCAGACAACACACATGTCCAAAAGACATCTAGGGTACGTTCCAAAACGTACTCTTCGAGGAAAATTTTACTCGGCCGTTCCAAAACTCTTTTAAGCGTTTCCGATTGGTTCGAATCAGTCATCGAATAAAATTTTCCTCGGTTACTTGCGTTTTGGAACGTAACCCTAAAAGACGACTTAAAGACATCTTAAATCCTTTAGATATCTTTAAGACATATTTTGACCTTTTTGTGCTGTCTAGATAAACTACGAAGCCAAGGTGCACGAATGTTCTCAGAGGGTGATATATAAGGTGCACAATTTCTGGTTCTATTCCGTGCTATGTGCACAAAATGTCGGTTGCATCAGTGCTGTACCAAGGTGCTTACGTATGTCAAATAAATTTTAATATAAATGGGAAATGAGGAATTTGCGATCCTCTCTCTTTTTCTCTCTCTCTCTCTCTCTCCAAAATTTTAGCAAAATCGTTATTTTTCACTAAAGTATGCCATAATTTTTACATTATTATACATTTTTCTTATTTTTTTTATCGACGATAGAATTTTATGACAATTAAAAACATTTTTGATTTTTTGTTTTTTTTTTGTTTCAGATAACAATTAGAAGCATTTCTTGACAGTTCACAATTTCGGTCACGAGGCATAACTATAATCATTAAATAACTTAATATCATTATTTTTTAATAAAATAATTTTTTTATATTATTCAGACACATTGTAACAAATTATCCTTAAAGTTTCGGAAAAATCAGTTTTATTTTTAGTTTTTAAAAATACTCTCAAAGAGTTTATTTTCAGTGTTTTAAATCAATCCCTCCTTAATCAATCATTCTTCAATTATTCTTTTTACATTCAGCTATGATTGGTCGATATCTTACATTTTAAGACTTACTACCTATTTTGATGAAATATACATACATTACTGCGCTATTGCGCATGTGCTTGAAAATCCTACGATCATTGGTTTATGACTGTAGCTAGTGGTGGCGCAGGACGACTCAACAGAGTTGGTATAAACATGCGGTGATATGTCTTGTGCCTGTAGTAATTTTCCAGCCTGTTCGGTGAGAGTATAGTAGAACACGATAGAAGAGTCTAGATGCATCGTGAAAATGTTTGGTATAATCGTGGCTGGGCGACTTGTAAGTGTAATTCAGTTAATATATCGTGTTTTACTATTGTATTTTACTATTGTATTTATTAATTGTTAGTATGCGAGAATTATTTCAATTATATGTGACGAGAGAAGAAAAAAGTGTAGTGTCTTTTTAGTCTTCTCAGAATAAAACTCTGCTTTTACTTTATCTGTTATCACATTTTGCATGCATGTCACAATTGCAATTCATTCATTTTTTATTTAATTTTATAACGTTTTATAAATAAATTTTTTGATTATAATATTAAGCAAAAAAAATGATGAGATATATAATTACATACACTTTCCATAGATATAATATATGAATTTTTCTATTGATATAATTTTACAATTAATAAATAAATGAATTAAAATTAACTTTCTAATTGATTCTCTATTAATTGATCTTATGCAAACAGAAACTAATTGCAAATTTGATTATACATATATATATATATATATATATATATATATATATATATATTGTGCGTATTCTAATTGCAAAAATGCTCTGTACATTCATTTTTCTGTATATTTAATATTAATTGTAACTGTATAGAAAACTGTACAAATTAGTGTACATTATTAGTGCACACATAGTATAGTTCACTAAAAAATTTAAATCTTAATTATTTTAAATAACATTTATGTAAGAAAAAATATATAATATTTAATGTTATAAAAGTATAGTACTCTTGTTCTGTTAATCTTTTTATTTTTATTATAATCTATCGTTACATTAAATTCATTATTATATTTATTTTTATTCTATTTTTATAATTTGTTTACTTAGTATATAATATATAAGATAATATATAAGATATAATATATAATATATAAGATATAAGATATATTTTGCTTTATTTAATAATAATAAAAATATGACTTTTGTTTTTCAGGTTCAAACTGATTTCCATCAAATTGGAGAAAATCAATTCTTAATTACTGTGCCTGATGCGGACAATATAAACCATATAGTAGTCTTTCTCACTGGCATTATACCATTTCCAGATGGCATGGGAGGTGCAGGTAAGATAAAAACACTATTTTCTACATAGAAAGATTATAAACATATTAAAATTTTCCATAAATTTGATTAAAAGTTGCAATAGAAATTGATCATTAATACAACAAACTATATAAATATATTTTTAGTGTATTTTAGTTGGCCAGATGCAAATGCACCACCCAATTGGCAATTTCTTGGGTATGTTTCAAATGCTAAACCATCAGCCATCTTCAAAATTTTGAATCTGAAAAAAAATCACGAGTTTGAGAATAGTAATGTGGGAATTTTCGGGATCGGTAAGATTTCGCATGTCGCGCAGATCGGTATATCGATAGAACCTCTGGTCATAATCGAGCAGCAGGCAGCTACAGTTGCTGCCACAACCACTAATACCTTTGTGGACTTCGTGCAGAAAATGCTGACGAGTTTTGTGAATTATGTGACAAGTTTCACAGTGACACAAACGCAAATGACACCAAATCCTACAGAGAACTTCATACCTTTATCCACGTTACAAAGCTGGTATGAGACTTTTGAGAGGCGGTTACAGCAGAATCCAAATTTCTGGAAATCGTGATTATGGAGATTGCATGTAACATGGAGCTCCTTTGCATAGTAAAATATTTATGTGTATACACATATATATGTATATATACACACAAATTTTACAATAATGATCAAGCATGATTCTGGTGTTTGAATATTGTTATAAAAGATACTGAATTATCAGTGTGAATAAAAGTGAATTTGTCGCTCTTAATAATGTCAATAAACTATGATTTTGCATAAGAAGTTAGGTTTGATATTGATATATATATTCAAGCTGTACTTTCAATATATTTCAGAGAAAATATATTAAGATAGCATTATCATATTTATATGTATTCCATTTACTTGGTCTTTGCCACTTTTTCTATCAATATTTAAATTTAATTGTTGATAAACTTTTGTAGGATAATATTGAAATTAAAAATTTTTATTTTAGATATATGATATTATTACATTAAAAATTTTAATGTCATTTTTCAAATTAACAAATTTAAGCTATAAAGTAAGATATATTTATAATTTATTGTTAAGAATAATAAAAAAAATTGAAGTAAGCATGTATAAGTTTTTTTGTATATATGTGTATTATTATAATTTATTTAGCGAAAAATTTTATTTCATATTTTAAATCATGTTGACATTAACTTTTTAAAATTTTATATATATATATATATATATATATAGCAGAGAGAAGACTGAGAGATGTCATGGCCTGCTTTTGGGTGATCTCTCAAAGCGTCCCTCTATGGACATTGAAAACGTGGACATGAACTATAAAGCCAAAGTCCATAAATGTTCTCAGAGGGTAATACATAATGTGCACAATTTCTGGTTTTGTTCCGTGCTATATGCACGAAATGTCGGCATCAGTATGCTGTATAACAAGATATTTTTATGTATGTAACTTTATAATAAATAAATTACTCAATCGCGAAAGATACTGTAATATTCAAAGATGAAATAAATATTTTTCTATATTCATTGTCATATTTATATCTTTTTATTTACATTTTTAATCGTATTTCTATCAATCTTCTTAATTATCAGTAAACTGATCTTTGATATTTATCAATCATTTTTTTAATAATGAAAAAATTTAAAAATCTAATTATTAATATATGTATGGAATTTGTCAAATTAATCATTAATTCTTCTGAAGTTTTCATAATTAAGGCTCGAAAAATATAAATGTCGCAAAATATTTTAAGTCTCTTTCTTTATATAAAATATAAAGAATTCATATGCTAACACTATATATATTTTTATATTTTTATTATTATAATTTTCATACCAGCATAATACTTTTGTGCTTAATAATTTATATAATACAATGTACTAAATTATAAAATTTAATATAATTACAAAATAGGTATTACTATTAATAAATAGGTTGTATGTGTACTGTCTTTTACTTTCTAATCATTTCCAATCACTATGCATTTCTATCCAATATATTCTTTTCTTCGAGTTCTTGGATATTAGGGTTGCACCCGATTGACCACGTCGCCAATTGGCCAATTCAAAATAAGACTCTCTAATTGGTTAATCGTTGCTGGTTACCCTAGGCACAGGTTGATATAATTGGCTGTGGTCAATCGCAACGTGGTCAAATGGGACGCTCCCTTGAATTATTATAGTTTATTGTATTCCTTTGTGTTAATAAATCATAAAAATTATCATCACTTGTCATGCTTATTCCTTCCTATAGAGTCCATCGGAATACTTTCTATGAACATTTGTTCTCAGGTATAGATATTTTATAATATAAAATTTACTAAAAATTTTTACATAGTCCAGACAAGATTAGCGATGATTAATCCCTAAGATTATTGGAATTTTAATATATTTTCTTTAACATTAAAAGAATATTAAAAAAATTTTAATGATCACCTAATAGTCTTAACAATTCTTTTTTTTTACGTGGGGAAAATGCTCCTTATGCACACCGCGGTGGGACTTATTTAGCGGTTAATTAATTATAAATTAATTAATAACATATTTAATAATTTTGGTAAATGTTTACTTTACGTCACACAGCTCGAGAAAAGTTTTTATTTTCACATATGTTGTCGAGGATATATTCTTAAGTAATACACCGTTTAAATTTTGTGGCGCTCTCTTTTCGTTCCTGAGATATGCAATTTTGAAGTTTCATACTTTCATGTCATCTTTTCGTTATATCCTATTTATGTATTCTAATTTTTTGTTTACATTTGCTCAACCACACGGTTTGACATTAAAGTAGTCCGTAACTTTTATTCGACTTTAGTTTAGGTATTTTGAAATTCATAAAATATATCTCATATTTCAATTTTCACAAAAAAATCGAAAGCAAAGCAATTTTAAATTTTTAACATAAAAATGGCGATAACTCGAAAACAATGTATTTTCGGATCTTTGTTTGTATCAACTTTCTTCCTTGTTTTTAGTTCTCTATTCATCTCCCGAACGACTTACTTCGACTTAATGACTCGAAACATCCTATACAGAATGTTCTAAAAGTATCGCACTTTCTCTTAAGGGCAGATTCCTTAGAAGATTTTAAGACGAAAATCTAGAGAACCTCTAGGAGAGAGAATGGACAACTGATCAAGCTTTTTCATGATTGGCTGGCAGAAAATGTATCAATTTTAGCTATTGCGACGCCAATGCAAAATATGATGACACACAAATAGGTTAATATATGTGTGTTATGTGTGTCCTATTTGTGTGTCATCATATTTTGCATTGGCGTCGCAATAGCTAAAATTGATACATTTTCTGCCAGCCAATCATGAAAAAGCTTGATCACATGTCACATGATCAGTTGTCCATTCTCTCTCCTAGAGGTTCTCTACGAAAAGCCTAATAAAAAAAGTCGAGGCTATAATAATTTTAAAACGGGAAGCGATTATATCTGACTAATAACAGAGCTGAGGCTAAAGTTGAAACATGTCGCAAATTTTTTTATTTGAATTATTTTTAAAATGCTCCTATGAATAGAACACCCTTACTATGATATTATTATTATCATGAATTTACAATGACATTGTCTTTATATTGCAAACACATTCCAAAATATTGTAAAAAGTAAAGTAAATACGGGGATTGCCCGATTAGACACAGCCAATCATATCGACTGATGCCTAGGGTAACCAGCACAATCAAGCACGATTAGCCAATCAAAGCCAGTTGTGTCCAATTGTACTGTGTCTAATCGGAGGTGTCTCGTAAATACATATCAAATCTAATTCTATTATAATTTACTCGTCTTGCACAGCGTAGCATAGTAGACACTTTCACGATTCTAATATTGATCGATTACTTTGACAGCTAAAGTTTAAACTTGTCGCAAATTTTTTTATTTGAATCATTTTTAAAATGTTTTTAATTTTTGCGTCCATCATTCATAAAATAATGTAATGCAACGCATAAAGAAGTAGAAAAATTTATGATGACAATGTCATTATAAATTTATATAATAATCATAATATCATAAAAAGGATTCATAGGAGCATTTCTTTCACCTGTCAGTTCGCTGTACTTGAGCACACGTAATCTCAGCCCTGTTATTAGTGAAATATAATCATTTCCCGTTTAAAAAGTGCGATATTTTTAGGCCTACACACACACACACACACACACACACACACACACACATACACACACACACACACACACACACGCACGCACACACACGCACACGCACACGCTCACGCGCGCGCGCGCGCACACACACACACACACAGATTCATAACATATACATGTATCAATTAAATATATTTTATTTTTATATTTAATAATATAGAACAGTATTATTACCTTTTTATATTATATTCCTCCTTTTCTCTTTTTTTCTATATTTCTATCTCTTTTATCTTTTTCTCTGCTTCTTTTATACTTAATTTTATTCTTCTTTAATTTTACTTTTAATTTTAATAAAGCTTTTCTCTCTCTCTCTCTCTCACTCTGTTTTTTCGTGTATTTTCTAATTTTAAATAAAACATTTACATTAATTATATATTATGATTATCAATGATAAAAAATCAAACAAATACTTCAAATAAAAAAATATAAATAATTCAAATAATTACGTGGTCCCTACCACGAGACAAAAGAGAAGGACAGAGATGCCCGGAATCATCTCTCTATCCTTTAGATCTTTTAAGATTGCCTCTTACGATAGGGGCCGGTCTATTCTATATGTCTATGGTACATGCGATACAATACAATCCTAATGATCCTAGTGGGAGAAACATTGAACTATATAACATACTGGAAGCCGCGCTACCATAGAAAGTGGCCGATCCAGCCTGTTAGACAAGGAGGCGCTAAAAGGTGATGCGTTCTTTGTTTCTCTAACGTATTACAGTCGATTCGTCTAAAGTTCTCACACCATAGTAGATGAAACAAAACTGTATGTATGTACTATTTTATCACAATTTTAATTTGAAAAAATGATATTTGAACAAATACGTATTACATTGCACATGCTACATTTCTTTAGACTCATGTTTTCAGCTCAGGTAATATGTAAGACAAGGAAAGCATGACCACTTAGCATCTATCTCTCTCGGCTCGGGAATAATAAACAAAACGTATCTTTGCGCGGCTTCCAGTATGTTATATAGTTCAATGGGGAGAAACGAAACGCAACACTGGGAGTTTTCAATACTGCCAACTTTATCTTTTTTCCCAACACCGACCAAACATATTTTCGAACGCACTACTGATAATTTAACCGAAAAAATTGTACTCAACGTTCGTTATCACGTGACATGCGATATCCCATAGAAAGGCACCTTTAGATCGCGATGTGTGCGTGCCATGTATATCGTACATACATACGTATCTGTCAGTGATCGAGTACGGCAGCTTTCACGTTGATGATACGGGGACTTTCGGGGCTCACAGGGTGATCTCGCACGAAACTTATTATTTATCATCGTTACCGCGGACGTTCCGTCTTGGCCGCGACAAAAATTGACACGCGGGCATGAGGTCCACCTGCAGGAATGACAACTGATGGTTGCCGCCGCCGTCGTCGTCGCCGTCGTCGTCGTCGTCCTATACTCGCTTATCGAATCTGTGTCTTTGACGCTTCGTCGCGGTGGTGTCCGTGAGGACGATGCTCCGCGTCGCGGAGCAACATCGTTAATGCGTAACGTCTCTCCGCATTTTCGGCTTATGGATTCCGCGTGAGAAAATTACACGAGCTAGGATAGAGTGAGAAAGAGAGAGAGAGAGAGAGAGAGAGAGATTTTCACGACATACAGATCGACGTGCGTTGTCGTCCATCGCGTGGAACATCTCTTACCAGTCTCCAAGTGAGTAGGAACCAAAGTCTGATCACTCCGAACTCTTTCTCTCTCTCTCTTTCTCTTTGTCACACAAAGTAAAGAGAGAGAGAGGAAAAAAGGAAGGGAGAGAAAGAGAGAGAGAGACAGAAAGGGAGAGAGAGAGAGAGAGAGAAAAAAGTAATCGCGCGAGTAATTACGTGCCGTATGCGACGCGCGTCTCAAGGTTGACACATGTCGGCTCGATCGCATGACAAGAGGAAAGCTGTTCGCATTTCTCGGAACGAAACGAAATAAAGCGTAACGAAATATACTTGCACGGCTATATACTTGACGATTTCAACCGGGAAGACGCGCAATGATGGACTTACGTGCTCGTCTCGTTCTCTCTCTCTCTCTATCTCCTTCTATCTCTGTCTCTTTCCCTCTCAGCTGCGCTACGCATACACACACACACACATACACATTGCGTATCTTTTCGCAATAAGATGCTGCGTCTTGTTTAAGGAATTGAGAAGAATTATTTGCTAAAGCTCTACGCAAGCGATCGTGAGACAAGTATTATTTCTTCTCTGGTAAAATATCACCTATTTTAAGAGCGCTATAAAACGCTGGATGGAAAAAGAAGAAGCATTCGGCTTTTCGAACGCGTCTCCTTCATTCTCTCCCCCTCCTCCCCACCTCCTATGCCTGGAATTGGACACCGACGCGAATCGGAATTAATTGATCTCTCGGTCGCTGTCCCTGTCTACGCGCACGGTCTCACCTATGTATATACAGGGTGGCCCCGAACGTTCCAGCCAGACTTTGAGATCTTATAGGAAATTTAATTCTGAACAAAAAATTTCCTATAAACATGGGTCGAAAAATGCTTCCTTAAGAAGTTATCGCTCAAAAATCTCCGATGAAGGAAGAGCAAAAGGTGAAAAGAAAATGAAATAAAAAGAAAATGAAACTAAATAAATTTCTTGAAAAACATCTCTATTCATTTTCTACTATTACGTGCTATTACTAAAATATTAGTTAAAAAAAAAAATTATTTTTTTTCATAAAAGAAAAAGATTTTTATTTTTTATTTTTATCGTTTTTTTTCAAGAAATTTATTTAGTTTTATTTTCTTTTTATTTCATTTTTCTTTTTATTTCATTTTCTTTTTATTTCATTTTTCTTTTTATTTCATTTTCTTTTCACCTTTCGCTTTTCTTTCATCAGAGGTTTTTGAGCGATAACTTCTTAAGGAAGCATTTTTTGACGCATGTTTATAGGAAATTTTTTGTTCAGAATTAAATTTCCTATAAGATCTCAAAGTCTGGCTGGAACGTTCAGGGCCACCCTTGTGTACGTGTGTACGTGCAATCTGAACGGGGGAAAGAGAAAAAAAGTCGGTCGGCCGGAATTGGTGATAATCGACGTCGGTGTCCGGAGCGGGATCGTGAGCGCTTTCCCCGCGCTCACGATGACACTGCGATTAAATCGCGATGTACAGGGTGTATCTTAAAAAGCTCCCGCTAAGCAAATAACGTTATTCCTGATTAAAAACCGAGTCGAAAAGTCCTGAACCATTTTTTCCCATAATGCTTAATAAAGTAGTAATTAATGAGTAAAATCGCGCCAATAAAAAGACAAACATCCTCGTTATCAACATAGATTTGGATAAGCAAAAAAATAAACTGTTTTGTGTCTTTTTAATACTTAAATCTGATTAATTATTTAATGAATCTTGGAAAAAAAATGGTTCAGGAATTTCGACTCTGTTTTTAATCAGGAATAACGTTATTTGCTTAGTGGGAGCTTTTTAAAATACACCCTGTATATGCAGGCACGCGTTGCAGCAAAAATGTGAGATGAAAAATAGGCGAAAAAAATGCTTTGAACGAAAAAGATAATTCCCCTCCCCCCCAAGATAATTCAAAATATATAACTCTTGCTTGATTCGCATTTCTGTAGTTCAAATGGGAAATGGATTTAAGGTGACAAATCAAAAGATATCGCGATAGATGCGCATAATTAAAACAAACATGAAAAGAGCTATTGAGAGAAGACAGTCACATTTATAATACTATTAAATTATATCATTAATAATGTCAGTACAATGTAAAATTAATCTATGTATTGCCTGAATGACGGAAAAATGTTGAAACTTGTTTATTTTGAATGTATAGTTGTAATAATATTCACATCATCCCATAGAGGATTATTTAGATTTAAATACAAATACAAAAAATATTTTTATTAAAGAATATCAATAATTTAAACCATATTAATAAATTAATAAATATAATGTTTCTCTTTTATTTTAATTTACATTGCGTTATTATTATTATTTTTAATCTTGCAACATTATGATATGCTGCAAAATATTGACAATGTAAATATTGATGCATTATATATTTGCACAAGTCAAAGCATATACATTTTTACAAATTGATATGTTACAGGAGACAGGAGGATACCTTGTAATTTCGGGATATCAAATACTTGCTGATAAAGTTTCTAAAAGTAAGTTGAATTAAATTATTGATATAAGAAACAATGTAATGATAAAAGATAAGACAATTTTTATGTGTGCATGAGATATATGAAGTGTTTATTATCAAGTGTTTAATACACATAAATCTTTATTGTAGAAAGCATAGAAATGGAAAGTTCAGAGGAACCGACCAGTTTGCAATCCATATGTCATCTACATGCCTCAGAACTGTTCCCCAAGCATACGCATTTTGAGTGCGAGGATGAAACGCTAACAATTCCATTCACGCCATTGAGCGGAGAATCAGTAGTGGCATTGGGACGAACAACTGATGGTGTTTTAGCACTTTCAAATTATAGACTTTATTTGCAATTAAGTCAAACGTGTTACAATATACCTCTAGGTCTCATTGAGCAATTGGAAGTCAAAGAGATTTTCTATCTGCATATTGGATGCAAAGATGCACGTTCTTTAAGGTATCATGATTTCCTTTTATTTTTTCATCTTTTGGAATAGATTTAATATTCTCACCTTTCACGTTAATTATAAATTCATTGAGGATCGTATGTAACATTTCTGTAGCTGTTTTAATTAAGTGACGATTGTGTTATATTTTAGTTGTGCATTTACCACAAATGAACACTGTTTAGAGTGGTTTAAACGATTACATAAAGTGACCTATCCACGAAAAAGTATAGAGGATATATTCGCGTTTGCTTATTATGCATGGTCCATAGAAGAAGGCAAGGATTATCCTAGACTTGGAAAAGATAATAGTTCTTATATTACTACTTTTAATTCAGAGGTATATAAAATTTTATATAAAATTTTTAATCTTTCTTTTTTTTGATTGCGAACGCAGAAAAATTTTTTACCCGATAAAAAAAATGTCTCCATGAAACTTATATTTTCTCAGGTCGAGCGATTGAAGTTCAATTTACATGGCACATGGCGTATAAGTCAAATAAATAAGGATTATCGCATGTGTCCATCCTATCCGCCACAACTATTGGTTCCTGCTTGCATTTCTGACGAAACCCTAGAATTTGTTGCCAAATTTAGAAGTTCCAGACGTATTCCAGCTATTGTGTGGAGGTATATGGTTTCTTCTTTTTTTTTTGTGTAACTTACAAGTCGAGTATCACATTTTTTGTGTTTTATCAAAACGATTGCATATTTTAAGGCATGTGAATAACGGTGCCGTAATAGCTCGCAGCAGCCAACCAGAAGTTGGTTGGCTCGGCTGGAGAAGTTCCGAGGATGAAGACCTTCTGAAGGCTCTTGCAGACGCGTGTAGCTACGATAAGGGCGAATCCACGATGGTAGACTCGCCTATTACGTACTCCGACGTTGGTGATGATACTATAACACCGAGCGCTGCCAAGGTAAGAATTTTAAAGTACAGACCTGTACTTTACGGAATGTATTGCACGCATCGCAAATTTGACCAATCGCGGACATTCTGCTGTTTTCGGCAAAAATTTCGTTTCTATGGAGCGGAATTCGTGTAAGCGGATCAGCAGTTCGCTAATTACAAGACTGTTAGATGAAAGAAATAACGAAAATCGTCATGATTGACTAGCCTGATCCGGCTTACGCGAATTCCGTTCCATGAGACCAGGGACAAAACTTTCGTGTACCGAAAACAGCAGAACGTTCGCGATTGAGTCAAAGGACCACGCACACAAACATTGGAAATCTGGACACCGGTCAAATTTCTCCAAACTTTGGGATTTTTTAGTTTATGACCCCCCCCCGATCAAAAGTCCTTCTGGGCCCGAACCTCCAGGAAGTCATGGAAAAAAATTATGGGGTATGGAAGTCGACAGAATATAAGTAGTCGAGTATACACGTTTTTACGGGTTGAACATCTCTTGGGCCTTAATGATATTCGGTGGGGCCTGGACCCATTTCTTTAACCATACCGGATCGCTTTAATTGGTCGGTTATGAAATGTTAATATCATATCTGAATATATTCCTAGTCACAGAATCTAATTCTGCGATGTTTCCATTATAAAAACCTGGCTCGGCCCTTTCTCGGTCCTATCGGACCCTAGTTAGATTTTATAGCCAAGATTGGGCCAGACTATCAGATAGTCCTCTCCAAGTTCAAGAAGTTTTGTCCGATTAGTTATCATAATAGATCCCCTCGAATTTGAGACATTTCAAGAGTAAAAACGTATATACTCGACTACTTATATATTGCGTCGACTTCCATATCCCATAACTCTTTTCCATGACTTCCTGGAGGTTCGAGCCCATAACGACTTTTGATCGGGGGTCATAAGCTAAAAAATCCCAAAGTTTGGAGAAATTTGGTGGCCAAATTTCCAATGTTTGTGTGCGTGGTTTTTTTCAATATACGCACTGAGAAAAATCATTTGATTGTATCAACAAGACGTATATGATTGAAGGCATTTTAGTTAAATCAAACAAGAATTTCTAGTTATCATGATAAAACTCGATTTTTTATAACTAGAACGTTTAATAGATTTTACTATAAGGATTTGGTTAGTATTTTCTGGTTGGACGTATAAAATTTCTTGTTACATTAATTTCTTTGCTTGCCGCTAGACGAGCCACTCTTAACTTAACTCGTATCCAATATTTGCCATGAAATGTATATAAAGAGTAATATTAACATTAAATCCAAAGTATATTTTTTTTTTCTTACGAGCAGTAGTGCCAGAAAGAGGACGCTAGCTCTCTGATTGTGTGTGTTTGAGCTGCAGTGTTCCTCTTCTTGCATCACTGTTTATCAGTTTAATTTCTAACAAACTGAATTTAAAATAATTTATTCAATAATCTGGATTGAATTTGTCCAACAATCTTGTTGGAATTCAGAATATTAAGTAGACTTTTGAGATTAGATGAAAAAAATTTTAGACGACTTGGTGATGGCAAGTTTAGTATTATTAGCCGGAAAATTTGGTAAATTTAAGAGGAAGAAATTAATCAGATTCATCTGGTGATTCCTAAAAGAATTCTGGTTCGTTCATTTTCCAACAGACATACTGGTCGAATCTACCAGAATTTTAATTAACGCAATCAGATTTTTTTCTCAGTGCGCAATCCGCGATACGCGCAATGCCTTTTATATTTTTAGGATTCCTTGGTTAAATATTTAATCAAATCGACGAACGAAAAATTTAATTTAAACCAAAAAGAAATTCAAAGAAGAAAAATGAGAATCTTGAGTATTAATTACATGTAATTTAATTTAGTATCATTATATTATTTAAGTATAATGTGAAGTTATCTCTTGTAAATATTTTGTAATTTTTCTTCTTATACGTAGAAAGTTTTAATCGTCGATGCAAGATCGTACACAACAGCCGTAGCGAATCGAGCACGTGGTGGCGGCTGCGAGTGTCCGGAATATTATCCGAGTTGCGACATACAATTTATGAATCTGCCGAATATTCATTCGATACGGAAAAGCTTCCACGCCGTACGACAGTTATGCGCGTCAGATGCGGATCAACCAAAGTGAGTTATTCTCTCAGACTGTGCTATGTACATCTCGTCTGTTCTTAATATTCTTATTTAACTATAATTTTTTTTATTGTACCAATCTCTTTCTTACAGTTGGTTAAGTTTGTTGGAAGGTACGCGATGGCTGCAACACATGTCGGGTTTATTGCGAGCGGCCGTCACCGTGGCTTCCGCAATTGAGAGAGATGGTCGACCAGTATTAGTACACTGTAGCGATGGTTGGGATAGGACGCCCCAAATTGTTGCGTTAGCGCAGATACTACTTGATCCATATTATCGGACTATGGAGGTATACAAGAAATTTTTAGAATAATTGCAATCAAATTCGAATTATTCTCACTACTTCTTCTGTTTTAGGGGTTCCAAATTTTGATTGAGAGAGAATGGTTAGACTTTGGACATAAGTTCGCAGATCGATGCGGTCAAACAATCGGTTGCGACGATCCCAATGAGCGTTGTCCGGTATTTCTTCAGTGGCTTGATTGCGTCCATCAGTTAATTCTGCAGTTTCAATGCAGTTTTCAAATGTCGTCGGCATATCTTGTAAATATATAATAAACAGTTCTATTGCGAAACCGAAATATGTATTATCGAGAAAAATTTTTAACAATAACGTGTTTCAGGTGAAATTAGCCCAGCATACATACTCACAATTATTTGGTACATTCCTGTGTAATACCAGGCAGGAGAGGCTGCAATTGAGAATACGTGAACGTACGTTCTCCGTTTGGCGTTTTCTCAACTCTACTGCGTTCGTCAATCATTTATATTCGCCGTTAAAAAATCAAGTATGTCACGTTAATGAAAAATATATCGCCGTGATCAAAACACATTTCTTTAAATGTAAAATAACAATTGATTTTATTAATGCCAGGTATTATGGCCAAGTTGCAATGTGCGTGATCTTGTCCTATGGTCTGAAGTGTATTTAGGTTCTATGGAATCGTCGCTCGGTATGAAAGATGATAAGCAGAGAGTGACGTTGATTGACATCGAGGGCGGTGAGAGCGAAGAACCACAAGGACAGATGACGAAGACGAGATCGTATGGCGATCTCATGCACGCTCCCGATCATGCGGTTTATTTGCACCGAAGACGTAGCGATCCGAGTATTTCTATGGAGAAGTATGTAATCTCGATGATAGTTGAGCCTTTGCGATAAGTGTGTTCTTTTTAAATTTATGCAGAAGCTTTTTTTCTTTGCCGCAGAAAATTCGACACTTTAACGCTTGAGACTGAAACAGATCAAAAGAGCGCGAGAACTACGGACGATAATAAAAATGAAGCTGTGAACGAGAATTCATTAGAGACTGAAACCAAGACGAAACGATGTACTGTGAACCAAACATCCAACGATTCACCCGCCAATCCCTCGGTAGATAGTTCTACCGACACTTTGATACCTAACAATGATTCTGCCGTTGCAGTCATTAACGGAGAAAAGGAAGCGTAAGTATTTGTTGCTTTATATTTTTATGTGTTTGCATATTTTTATACTTTTATGTTAGCGAGAATTTTTATAAATTTTATTCAAATTTTCAGATCACACACGAATTCATCGCGGGATATCGTATCACCGTGGATTGAAACCGGCACCACCACAACTGGACGAATCGTTTGCTCATCGTGTAATCGCAATCACAACGAGGGTAGTGATGTGAGTGATACTAGCGCCCCATTGATATCAAGAACTCCCAGTAGCATATGTCCGGCTTCTCCAACCCATCAGGACGTTATGCTAGATAATCCTGACTGGCTGGATGATGTTGACGGTCTTCCTGTCATATGTTGTGACGTCCAAATGCGAGTACAACAAATTATCGTAGAGCATAAGGTACTTGAAGCAGCAGTTTTTAGTGTTTTATCGCACTCTACATGAAAATTCTCCGAAAATATAGCCGGCGACATAGAACGAAAATGTCCTGCTCTCTGAAGACCTTTAAAAAGCGATGGTCGTGTCATAGTTAATACAATTTTTAATTAATTTTTTTTTAGCTTAAAGAAGAAGCTCTAAGGAAGGAATTACATACAACGAGGCTGGCACTAATCAAACAAGTTTGCAATCACAACGCCGATACTGATCGTATCGACGATATTGTGAGTAGAATTTTTAAATTGCTGGTTCCTGTACGAATATGTAATAGTGTAATGAAAAATGCATGCATCTCTCGATTTGCAGGGTTCATTACCGGATTCTGTGGGTAGTACCGGTGAACATGGGGAGTCATTACCATCAGATATGTCTTGGGAAGCTGTGGAGGAGCTGAGTCCCGCTCCCATTCTCTGGGTGCCCGATCATGCTGTGACCCGATGCATGGGTTGTAACACGGAGTTTTGGCTTGGTAGACGTAAGCATCACTGCAGGTATGCATTTTCCGCGGCAAAACTGCGATAGCCCATTAGACCTATTTTGCTGCTAAAAAATGAGAAGGGACACGCAATGAGAAAACAAATTTTAAGCACAATCTTGTATTACATATGATTAGATGCTGTGGCAAGATTTTCTGCGCCGACTGCTCTGAAAATTCCACCCCTCTGCCCAGTGAACAGCTATACAATCCCGTGAGAGTGTGTAGCGACTGCTATGCACGGCTGCACAATCATCATCATCAGATAAACTCCTGTCCATGCAACGCCCGCCACCAATGTATTAAAATGGAGAACGAGATGGATTCCTCTGAAGTGACTCTTCCGCAACCAGCAACATGTCAGAAGTCGAGAAAGCTGCCGCCCGCTGTAACGAAGGATACTTGCTGCGACAATTTGTTGCAGGCAACGCATCAGAAAACTCAACCATCCGTCGCAGCGGCTACGGCGAATTGAAGAGATAGATCTGAAGAATCGAGCGAGAGAGGGAAAGCCCGAGGAAAGGCAATGCATTGGGGACAACGTGATTTTCTCCTCCATCGATTGCCGATCAACATCATTTCACTCTGCGTGGCGCGCATTGCATCGCCGGATTTATACATAATTTGTATCGGATATATAGCATGCGGACTAACTCATCTAGAGTGTCCTAAGCGATTTAATATATTTATTGCTAGATTAATAATTTGTACGCGAACAAGAGTGTATAGCAGATATGCAGAAAAAAATTGCAGAAAGAGAGAGAGAAAGAGAGAGATAGTATACGAGGTTGTATATACTCTGGGAGTGATCTCGAGCTAAAATTTCTAGCTTCTTCTGAGAGATACTCCTCTGAGAAATTCAGGGAGGTCCTTCAAGTTTATCCGTTTCTCTAAATATCTCCACGCTTAGCACGATGAGAAGTGGTGAGTGGCAAATTTTTGGATAGGCTGTGATCGACGTCTAACTTTGTTAGACGACTATACTACGGAGCGAAGTGCTAATTAATTGTCAATTTGATCACGACGATAGCATTATTTCGTTAATTAGCAATCGAAGTTAGCGATCGAGCGAAACGAACGAGATCGTATTTCTTATATCGCCATCGTATGTACGAGAATTGGGATATTAAATGTCATTACCGCACGCGTCTGATGTCGATCGGATTCACATCCAAGACCCATATTTTATCCTACATCGCGATCTCTCCTTTGTCATTAGACTTATCTTGACGAAAAGATCATTCGCCAGCGTATGAATGAATATTATGTTTAATTGAAGAATTGGTTTTCGTACTAAGTGTGTTATATATTTCGCGTGTGCTATTGATTTCATCATTTTCTCTGACATCCCATTTGAAATCTGCATCTTTGTAAAATCAAACATCCGTTTAGACCGTATTACACTACGGATTACGAACTCGGTTGCAGTTGATATAGTTGAGAGTTATGGATTGACCAATCAGTTAACAAACTTTACTCTGATTGATCAGTCCATAACTATAAATTATAACTACAACCGCAACCAAGTCCACAACGTAATGTAATACGGGCTTTTCAACATAAAGCAGAGAACAGATTTTTGCATAAGCATATAACCATAATCATAAGAAAACTGATTGGTCCACAAGTATATGTATAAGAAAATGAACCAATCAATTTTCTTATGCTTATGGTTATACGCTTATGCAAAAATCTGTGCTTCTCGCTTAATTCTTTCGATCATGGATATTAGATCATGGATTTTAGAAATAAATGCCTGGGCGACATGTATTAAATTTTAAAAAGCTTTATTATTATAGATTCGAGGACATAAAAAACAGGAACGAAGAGATGCATAGTTCGTCTTAATTTATAGGCCCAATCTTCCCTGTGATATTGTGAAGTGTCGCGTTTTTGAGTGAGTCTCAGTTGCGCACAGAATAAATCGGACACAGGACTTTCTCGGACTCTCTATTGGTCAACCGTACTAGGCCTCTAAGCATCGGTCGATATGATTGTTGTGTCCATTTCATTCTGTGCGCAACTGGGAACCTCCCGCGTTTTTCAGCAATTGCGTGGCATTCTTCAATATGTTGTCGTAATTGCCCTTTGTATCGTTTTCTTTTTGGAATTGCATGATTATTACAAGATATGTTGTGACTGCACCAGCAAGCTAGAAATATATTATTTTGTGAGTTTTTTTTCACCAAAATTGGCATACAGGAAAGATAAAAATTATTTACTGAGGTTACAAGAGTACGATCCAAAACGAAGAGTCCGCATGCTGAAAACTCCAAAGGACGATGCAGAAGCTGAAGTGAGAAGATTTCTAATTGTTTTGTACCTTCTTTGTTGTCATTCACGGATAGTAATCGACTTATCAAAACCGCTGTTTTCTTTCCCTGAAGATAATCATACAATTGATGGAATCGAAATATAAAATAATTATTAATCCGCAGATCCACAAAAATGTATTCTAATTATTACTTTCAAGAAATAGGAAACAATTTGAGATTTTAATCTTTCTGAGTTCTTTGTTTTATTTTTATCAATATGTTGATAAAAAAGAACTTAACTCTAGATCTTTATTCTATATATATTAAGATAAAAATTATTGAAGAATTTCCTATTATCAACAATGATCTTTCTACCTTCTCTATAGTAAATTATTGTACATGTATTTTATATATACAAGAGCTGTATGATAAGTACTCGTGTTTAATGACTGATAGCACCACTGACTCAAAATCTGTATACTTTTTAATGTATACTTTCAAAATAAAAAGGTGGCACAGGCAGCGCCATCGTGCCTGTACATTTCTATAGATACGTACACAGTCGATAAAGTAGTACAAAATTGATACTAAAGCCCGGTTGCGTCAACGTTATTTTAACTTTAAGCGAAACTTAAATATATGTCTGTCTTTATTTATTCAGAAAGAAAGATAAAGATAGATATACAGGGTGAGCCATTTTAATTTATCCACCTCAATAACTTTTTTATATTTGAATGTACAACAAAATGTTTCAAATAAAAGTTGCTTGACTTCGAGGGGGACAGAAGATGGGTGGCAAAAATTTGACGTTGGATAGTCATTTGAAAATCGCATAAAGGTTACCTTCAATTTCTTAAATGAAACCTCCTATTTTTCATTGCATATTCTTGTAGCTTATCTCGAGAGCTTTCCAAAACACTATAATTAAGTACCTTTTCATTAAGTACTTTTAGAGTTATAAGGCTTGAAATAATTTCTTAATTTTACATAAACCTTAAAATATCTAGTAAACCATTCATTTTTCGATTATCTTACCTTCATACTTTTATGTACAAAATAATGAGAGGAATCAATTGGTGTAAATAAAACATACAGTTGTTTTTAAGAAAAAATATGGAATTGTTAATTGCAAATTACATATTTTTTCTTAGAAACAACTATGTGTTTTCTTTACACCAATTGATTCATCTCATTATTTTGTACATAAAAGTATCAAGGTAAGATAATCGAAAAATGAATGGTTTACTAGATATTTTAAGGTTTATGTAAAATTAAGAAATTATTTCAAGCCTTATAACTCAAAAATCCTTAATGAAAAGGTACTTAATTATAGTGTTTTGGAAAGCTCTCGAGATAAGCTACAAGAATATGCAATGAAAAATAGGGGGTTCCATTTAAGAAATTGAAGGTAACCTTTATGCGACTTTCAAATGACTATCCAAGGTCAAATTTTTGCCATCCATCTTCTGTTCCCCTCGAAGTCAAGCAACTTTTATTTGAAACATTTTGTTGTACATTCAAATATAAAAAAGTTATTGGGGTGGATAAATTAAAATGGCTCACCCTGTATATTTAAGTTTCGCTTAAAGCTAAAATAACGTTGGTGCAATCGGGCCTAAGTGTAGTTATAAATATCTGAGTCCCAGTTGCACAACTCGAATTAATCCGAGTTTAATACGTTAAACTGGGTCCTAATTGGTCCATTCACTACTTAAACTCGGATTAACTGGATTATGGAACTGGGCCTGAGTAGTATATATAAAAAAAAACAGAACCGCTACACTAGTAGAAATTAAACATCTGTATACTTACTGTATACTTACTGTATACCATCGTTTAATGCCATCTTTCGAACGTTGCCTGTAAAAATTTCAGACAGATTTATGATTTATCGAGTTTTGTTTTGATAGTGTTGAAAGTGGGTAAGTTTGTGTTTGTTTGCAACTATAGAAAAAGAACAATATCGATCAGTGATTCGATTCCTTTTTTCGGATTGGAAGATGTTTGAAGAAATCAAAGTGAAGTTGCATGTCGTTTACAAGGATCATGCACCTTCGATGACTACAATATTGCTCTTTTTCCATAATTGCAAACAAATACAAATTTGCACATTTTCAACAGCTATCAAAACAAAACTATTCGATAAATCTGTCTGAAATTTTGACAGGCGACGTTCGAAAGATGGCGTTAACCCAGATAGCCAAATGCAATGAGGTTGCTGTCATGTTGCCAATAATTATTGAAGCAACTAATTTTAACAAACTAGAGACAAGGTGAGACAGCATTATGTCTGTTACGTGGAACTCACATGAATTTATGTGCTAATAACAACAAATTAATTGCAACGTGTCAACATATTGCTGACATGTTGTAGACAATGTAATATACCAATATTGCAGACCATTTGCTTCGTTAATTATTTGCATATAGAAGCAAACATATAGCATATGCATTCGTAACGTATTTTATCTCGATGTCAACAAGTATACTGCAAATATATAATAATACATGCGATGCATTTGTTTGCTGAATATGTCATATTAAGCTTGGCTATTTGGGAAACGATGGTACACAGATTTTGAGTCAGTGGTGCTATCAATCGTTAAACACGATTCTTATCGTATAGCCCTTGTGTGTGTGTGTGTTAATTAATTAACTATTTAAATTAAATCATTACATATACCTTCATTCTAGTAGTATATGTAGGCTGTACTATCAGGAGTAATCTCCAAATATGGAAGATACACCACAACCCTTCTACTGTAACGAATAGCCATTCACATCTTCCGTCAGCTTCTATTATCAAAACATACGGTGTGATGATCAAATGTATTAGGCAGGTAATTGTAACTACGAGTACAATGATGCCATAAGCAGTATTTATAAGTGATACTGTGTCACACAGTGTCCCGTGTACTGTCACCAGTTGGGATATGCTGTCTATAAAACTTTTGCCATCTAGAAAAAGATTTTACTACAGTTTTAATTATATATATATATATATATATATATATATATATATATATTTGTTATTTTCTAATATATTTAGCATTTATTCTTTCTTGCTATTATTCATATTGTATTGTTTATTACGTGATTAGTGCTTTTATCAGATTTTTCATATGATGAAAAATCGTACCATTTGCAACAATGGAATCCATGATCTTCGATTTACGAAACATTCGAGTATCTCCTACCATTTCTTGCCGGATGTATGTAATGAATTGTCCTTGATCTCGAAAGTCGCCAGCTACGAAATTTGTATGTCAGTTTAAAAGCATTTAAAAAATTTAAAAATAATTAGTGATCATTAGAAGAACATACCTAATCCAAGATCCTTTCTGAATTGATTTGTGATTTTCCTGCTTTTAAGGATATTTTCAAGAGTCTTGTTGATTCTGGAGAACCGTTGACCCACATTGTACACGATGATGGCATATTGAACTTCCATCATAATGATAGTTATATACATAAAGTACAGGGGAAGATAATTAAGCGGCCCTTTGCTGTCTGGTCTCTTATCTAACTTCACCTTGTAATTCCACGAATAAACATCGAGACATGAGAGACTGATGCAATAGGAGAGGCTGCAAAACGTTAAGAGGATGGTGTGCCGTTGCAGCTTCTTCGGCGAGAGGATTCCCAGCTTCTCATCGCACTTGAGGCGAATGAACCGATGAATTCGAATGCAATAATCTCTGCGATAAAGATAATTAAACGAGACTTACATCGATCAATTTATTGATGATAGTTTGCACCTGTTGCCAGTGTAGAATTGAACTGATGATGGAGACAGCTGTAAGACACATCAATCCCGACAGATCACTTGCGGTGAAAATTACCGCGTTCTGCGAATTAAGTCGAGTGCTATTCTCCCATCCATGTCTGAGATCGT